TCCTTTCGGCTTTGGCCCAACCACTTCATTAGCTCTGGAGCTACTTGTACTTGTCCTCCGCTCTTCCTCAGTAGCATGTTGGACGCCCTTTGACCTGAGGGGCCCATCTTCCAGCATCATATCTTTTAGCCTTTTGTTTCTGATCATGGGGTGTTCTTGGCAAAGATGCTGGAGTGGCATTGCCATTTCCTACTCCAGGTGGATTGTGTTTAGTCGGAACTCTCCACTATGTCCTGTCCGTCTTGGGTGTCCCTGCACGGCATAGCCCATAGCTTCTCTGAGTTACTCAAGCCCCTTCGCCATGACAAGGCAGCAATCCATGAAGGGTAATATACAATAATGATGAACTTAAAATTACAATGCAAATAGATTTCTGGCATTAAAATCCCACCTCATGAAAGCATGCATATTAAAACTGAGTTACCTAGGCATTATTATTTGGGCTACAAACTGCCTTTTTAAATGCTATTTTTAAACTGTTAATATGTTAAATATTTAGAATGCTGTTTTTAAAGTGTTATGCCTACTGATGTTAGTCTATATTAATAAATGCCTAAATATCAGTAAGTACTGGATGTATTTACTCTTACAAAGCAGAACTCTCCAGATTGCTGGTCTCAGATTTGGCTGGAATTAAGGCTAAAATCTTACACATGCTACACTCATGCAAATATCTCTGAAACTGATAGGAGTTACATCTTATTCTACGCAATAATATTCTCACAGGATCTTGTAGGTGTAACTACACATTAGAAAAAACATGGAGTCGCCACCAAAAGGATCCATCCCATGTGATCCTCTGTAATCTGTGTTAAAATGCACTTCATATCATGATGTCTCTACATTTGGGAATTTCTTTATTCCATGCCAATAATATGAAGAGGAGGTGATGAAAAGCTCAAAAGATAGAGGATGAGTTATTTTAATGCATTTGTTTTGGCTGAGCTGCAGAAGGGTTTTGCCAGGCTGAGAGTCTCCCTCTCTATTGGGTTACAATGGGGTGAAGTGGGAAAACCCTTCTGCACCTCTGGCTGTTTGTATCTGAGCCAAAGTAAACACATCAACATACAGTGGTGCCTTGCTTGACGATGTTAATTCGTTCCAGCGAAATCGCTGTAGAGTGAAAACATCGTCAAACAAAATTTAAAAACCCACTGAAACGCATTGAAAACTGTTCAATGCATTCCAATGGGCTGAATACCTGCTCGTCAGCGAAGATCCTCCATATGGCGGCCATTTTTGGTGCCTGTAAAGTGAGGAATCTGTCCTAGAAAACAGCGGGGGGCCATTTCCTTCAGCCGGTGGCCATTTTGAAACCCGATGATCAGCTATTTGCTGATCGTCGTAAAGCGAAAATCGGTTCCCAAAGCAGGGAACCGATCATCGTTAAACAAAAAACCCCATTTAAACCATTGTTTTGCGATAGCAAAAACCTAATCGTACAGCGATTTCCTCGTTAAGTGAGGCAATCGTTAAGTGAAGCACCACTGTAACTCACCCTATGTCCTGGGATTATGATGGAAAGGTCTGTGGCAGTTGTCTTCTGATTGTCTCAATGAGGACAGTTACCACCTGAGTGGGTGGAGTACAGTATGAATTTAAGTTTAAGCATAGTGCAGCATTATTACTAAGCAACACAGCAGCATGGTGGGGGAGGGATGAACACATTTAAGCAAGCATTGCTAAGGAAGAGGCTGAAAAATTCATTTAGGTTTCTATACTAAGCAAAAATACAAGAAAATTGTATGGCTCGCCATCATTTCCCATGAAGAAAGATTAAAATGAAGTGGAGGTATTTCTTTAGACCTGCCAATCAAATAACAAAAACTAATTAAAGTGGAATTAATTGCAATCCTATCATCAGTTTATATTACCTATGAAAAGAGCATAGCATAAATGCTTTTCTACTACACAAATTTTGAGTATGTTCAACAACTTAATGACCAGCTTAAGCTTTTCTTTAGTGTAAACCTAATATTTATAGACTTCATAAGCCAGCTCAGCTAGCTTCAATGCTCAGAACTGGGATCCCTGCCAAGCCCTTCTGGGCCTACAGGCATGAATTCTAAAATATCCCATGTAGAACACAGAAATAATGTCTGGGGGGTTCAGACAGCATTGCAATGTCTCTTTCAAGTTGCGAGACGGCACATAAATGATGTAAGACACTATATGTGAATAAAAAAGCACAAAATAGCTACTGATGGGTTTTTAGAGCACACTGTGAGTAAAGAACTATTTTACTACAATGATTCAGGATTCATGACATTAGAAGTGTCCTCAAAACTAGCTTAAGCATTTAAGTGCCTAAAAGTTTCAAGGGCTCCCCCCGCCCCTTGCAGGAGCAGCTCTAATAACACTGAAGTGGGAATTGGTTTCAGGATACTTTATTCTGAATGCTGTCTTTATTGGAAGGGCTCAAATTAACACTGTTTATTTTTTAAAAAAAGAACTGTGCACATCTAATGGTCCATGTTTATAACCTGCAATACACCTCAGTCTCCAGTGCCAAGCACCAACTCTCTTCTTCCCCTTCCAGCATGAGTAAGATTCTAAATACTGTTGATGCTGATCACATGAAAGGTGACCACTTGTTAAAGCTGACTGTCAAGAAGGCAAAGACAAGTGAATGTTCATGATATCGTTCAGGCACTTATCCATTAAACCACAGAAGCCTCTGTGCTGCAAGGTCAGAAGGCCAGCAGTCCTAAGATCGAATCCACGTGACAGAGTGAGCTTCCATCACTTTGTCCCAGCTCCCGCCAACCTAGCAGTTCAAAAGCATGTAAAAATGCAAGTAGATAAACAGGTACCACCATGGTGGGAAGGTAATGGCGTTCCGTGTCTAGTCGTGCTGGCCACGTGACCACGGAAACTGTCTACGGACAAACGCTGGCTCTATGGGTTGGAGACGGGGATGAGCATCACGCCCTAGAAGTCTGACACAACTGGACTAAATGTCAAGGGAACCTTTATCTTTAGCCATATGCATTCAATATGGAACTGCTCCCTGGAGATGGGCTTGAAATCGCAGCTCATGGAAAATGCAGTTTTGTGGTGTTTTGTTATGTTGTATGAGGTGACATAACTCTGATCCTTAAAACAGTGGGCTGTGCCTGGCTGTTTATCATAGCCCAATTCAAGGTGCTGGTTTGGATCCATAAAGCCTTAAATGACTTAGGGTCTGGCTACCTAAAACAATCTCTCTCTCTCTATATATAATTCTGTATAATTCTGCATGAGAACTGAAACCTGCTGGTGAGGCCTTTTTGTTTTCTCATCACCTGATGAAATTTAAACTTCCAGAATGCATACTAAGGCTTTTTTTTTTGTATGGACCCCCCAGTTACAAAAGGCTAGGGATGTGCATGGCAGAATTTTTCACATTTCTTTCAGGTCATGCTCTTTCAGAGGTGCCTCTTTTGTCTCTTTAGATTTCCCACTTTACCAGTCCTTTTTTGTATATGAAAAGAAAATCCTCTTATGTGTCATTTATTTTGCATTTCCTCATTCATGTTTTCTGGCATGTCAAGAGCTCTAAAAAGAAGAAAAGGAGCATACAGAAGCACACCAGTACTAGGAAGACATTGCCACTTGTGCAGAGTCCCAGCCCAATCAGGAAGCCTTTGCAGCCTATGAAGAGCAAGCAAGACCTGAATACTCAACTGCAAGGAAGATGATCTAAGCTGAAAATCTGACAAATCTGTATGCAATCAAATATTTAGAAGTGTATAGGCAATTGCTAGGACCTTGAATTATGCTAACAAAGCATAAGCAGGTTTGGATGGAACAGAGGAATGTCTATGCTTCAAAGAGGAGTTGAAGCTTTTAGCCAAAATTTGTGTTTGTTTTTTTTTAAATAAAGAAATACTGCCATAAGGAAATGCACAATTCGTGATGAATTTTTCTTACCTGGGAGGACAAGCTGGCATTTTACAATGAACAATTCCAGTAGCAGGTTGAATTTTGGGATTGCAAAAAGAAGCATCCACTTGTACTTGGAGGTCTTTGTAGCAGCTTTGTTTTGTGACCATTTGACCTGCACAAAAAACAAAAACAGGTGGGAAACAAAAAGTCACAAATGGCTGTGCATATCTGAAATCCAATCTGTTGATTATCTAAACCCATTGTGTTGAGATAAATCACGTGCAAATACTGATTTCTTATCTGAAGGAATTGAGTACCGAACCTCTTCAGTCTGCTTTTTCTTAGGTATCAACTATTTACATGACTGATTATCGCAGCGTTCTAAGCAACACTAAGAACCATATATACCATTTCAGCCTAAATGCTATTTCACAGGCATTTTCTTCCTCCTTTACGTCTCCTTGTTTTCAGGTAATGCAACTCTTAAGTACAAATGGCAGAGTAAGAGTTACTGATTCCATGCTTCTCTAGATCAGAATCTGTGACAAGTTACTTCCAAGCTTTGACTACTAGTTACTTCTTTGGAAATAAGCAATGCAACATAACATATAACTCCCATGTTACGACAACTTCACTGGCTGCTGATCGGTTTCTCAACCCAATTCAAAGTGCTAGTTATGACCTAGAAAGTTCTATATGGTGTGGGACCAGATTATCTGATCTTCCCATATAGCCTTCCTCAAGATCTTTCAGGGATGCCCTCCTCTGGGTCCCATTACCTTTACAGATACATTTGACAGGGACCCAAGAGAAGACCTTCTTGATGGCTATCCCCAGGTTATGGAATGCCCTCTCCTGTGAGGCTAGCCCATTGTATCAGCTCAAACGATCACACTGCCCAAACAAATGCAAATACATTTGAATCTTTAAAAAATGAAAGCAAAATTTGAGGGGAAAGACTCCTGCCTGATTCACACTGACTTGTATGTCATGTAATCAACAGAAAATAATACAAATCAGACCATCCTAATCCTGGAACATTTCCCTCATTAAAGGGAAGGAAAAAGTTAAAGTAATCGCACCCTCAGGATTTGTGTGTAATCACACTGCCCAAACCAATGTGAATGCATTTGAATCATTAAAAAATGAAAGCAAAATTTGGGGGGAAAGACTCCTGCCTGATTCACATTGACTTGTATGTCATGTAACCAACAGAAAATAATACAAATCAGACCACCCTAATCCTGGAACATTTCCCTCATAAAGGGAATAGTAAAGGGAAAGTAATCGCACCCTCAGGATTTGTGTGTTTATTTTGTTCTAAACAGCCTTTAACAAACACAACATTGGGGAAAAGGAACATTGTTTATCCCTATACATGTTGATTTAATAAATGTATTCCCCATTTCAATTTTTTAAATTCAGATTGATAGCCTTCTACATAAATGGAAAAAAAATCCTTGAAAGATGTAGACTGAAAGTAAGGCAAGAGTTTTCTGGTGAGCAGTGCAAGTGCAATTATGCTGTCTCACGACATACAGATTCTACAGGCCTAGAGTACGGATCAAACTCACCTTTGACTTTTTCAAAGCTTTTTGCTGTCATGCACAACTACTACTGTTACTAATCCTCCTCCTCCTCATCTTAGAACTGCATTGCTTGGAGGGACCCTGTGGATCCTAAAGTCCAGCCCAGGGAGGCATAGTGGGGAATCGAACTCTCAACCTTTGGCTCCACAGTCAGATATCTAAACCCCTGAGCTATCTAGCAGATGCTAACTAAATAATCCTTTGGTATTTTATCCTCTAGAGCAGCCATTCTCAGCCACACAACATGAGAGAAATACAAGCCGAATTAGGCTTGTATACGTTGCATTCCTAAAGTCCAGCCCAGGGAGGCATAGTGGGGAATCGAACTCTCAACCTTTGGCTCCACAGTCAGATACCTAAACCCCTGAGCTATCTAGCGGATGCTAACTAAATAATACTTTGGTATTTTACCCTCTAGAGCAGCCATTCTCAGCCATAAACACAACATGAGAGAAATGCAAGCCGAATTAGGCTTGTATACGTTGCATGACTAACCTTATATGAGTCGAAGAGATCATTTCAGCTCCAACCCCCCAAAGAATGGATGTGGGGAGCTGGCTGGCTGCCAGTCCTTATCATCTACCTGGCAGGTCCACTGCTTTCTCAGTAATTCCATTAAGTTTTCCTCCACATTTTTCTTCATTTACTTCACTTCTTCACTTAGTGTCATGGGTATTTCTGCATCAGGGGGCCTTGGCGAAGTGTGGATGCATCCCTGAACCCTTCTACCTCAACAGATACTTAGTAAACTTAAGAACATGCCTTAAGCTGTTCAATCAGCGACACAATGTGGGAAATTGTCAAGAAGAAGTGAAGAGCTATAAACACGCTAAAATACATTTTTAAATCAAGCCGTTAAGTCAAGCCAACACAAACACCTTTTCTACTGTAATTGCCTCTTTTCTCTACAAAGTGCCAGGGTCCTTTTAGTGTCTCACAGAACTTTGTATGGACTTGTTTTCTTCTGACACAAAGAAAACAGGGTGTAAATTCCTTTTCAAAGGAAGCACGTGAGATTCACCCAAAGTTGTAAGCATTCCCTTCCTTCTTCTAAAGTTTACTCCTGACCTGTTATCAGCCTCCTCTTGTCTTGGCAGCCTGTTCCAATGTGGGCAACTATTTTTGTATCTGCTGTGAGGGAAGGTAAATGCACCCTTTTCATCTGTATAGATACAGCCAACTTGCAAGTTCACACTGGATCTCTCAAAGAGCCTTGTGGGATAGGAATGCAAATGATAACGTTTAATGCTTATTACTTCAAATTGTAAGTGAGGGTCACAAGATGGATGGCTTATCTGCGTGTTTTACACACAGAACACAAGCATGCCAGGGAGAAGCTGGACTTCATTCTGTATGTACATGCATAGGATTGATCTGTTGGTTACTACACAGAAGAGTCATTACAAGCACATGAGGGCAGGGCTCTTGTACCAATTAACACTTGTGTGGATGCATAGTTTCCACACAACTCTTAAATGTGCAAGACCTCTTTGTTATGTTTATATTCTGCATTTTCTCCTATATGGTTCAGTCATTATATATGGCCCTCCTCACTTTATCCTCAAAATTGCCCTGTGCAAAAGGCCAGGCTGAAAATATATGACCAACTCAAGGTCATGCAGTGCATTTCATGGTACAGTACACATTTATTGTTTGTTCATCCAATTGTTGGTAAATTCCTCAAAGGACAGCTTTTAACAACATAATGGTAAACTGAAGACAAAGACTAGGCAGCAGAAGTCATAGTGAGAGAAACTGCAAACCTGAAGCTTCAAAGCCCCTTCCTTTGCACCCCTTCCTGGAAAGCCACATTCATGACTATTAACAGTGAAGGGACTAATGAAAACTTAGCCCAGCAGCAAAAATCTCTGGCATATTTGGCAGCCAGTAAAATACACCAGACTATAAGATAAGGCAGTGTATCTGTGTGCTTAACTCTTCTCATTCTAAATGCTTTCTCCTATAAATTCCTATTCCCATCTGCTTTTCATTCATGTTTTTGAGCTTTTTACTTTCAGAGACACAGCTTGGATAAAGATGGGGAAAGGATTAAGTGACATCCTTCCCACTGACTTTTTCTCCTTTGCAATTTTCCTCCTGGATTTCTTTCCTGACAGGAAGAAAGAAGCATAAATGAGTATGCTGTTGAGTATTTAGGTGTAGTCTTTTTGTTGTTTAATTGTTAAGTCGTGTCCGACTCTTCGTGACCCCATGGACCAGAGCATGCCAGGCCCTCCTGTCTTCCACTGCTTCCCGGAGTTGGGTCAAATTCATGTTGGTAGCTTCGGTGACACTGTCCAACCATCTCATCCTCTATCGTTTCCTTCTCCTCTTGTCTTTACACTTTCCCAACATCAGGGTCTTTTCCAGGGAGATTTCTCTTCTCATGAGATGGCCAAAGTATTGGACCTCAGCTTCAGGATCTGTTCTTCCAGTGCGCACTCAGGGTTGATTTTTTTCAAAATGGATAGGTTTGTTCTCTTTGCAGTCCAGGGGACTCTCAAGAGTCTCCTCCAGCACTACAATTCAAAAGCATCAATTCTTCAGCAGTCAGACTTCTTTATGGTCCAGCTCTCACTTCCATATGTTGCTACTGGAAAAACCATAGCTTTGACTATGTGGATCTTTGTCGGCAAGGTGATGTCTCTGCTTTTTAAGATGCTGTCTGGGTTTCTTATTGCTTTCCTCCCAAGAAGCAGGTGTTTTTTAATTTTGTGGCTGCTGTCACCATCTGCAGTGAAGGTTTTGCCTTACCAGGTACAATTTAGTAACATAAAAGTAACCGACTGGTATTACACAGGTACTAGTTACTTCATTTGTAACTGTAACCTCATAACTGTAACACGTTCTTTTAAATTAAAAAAAACACGAAAGGAAAGATTTTGCTGGAGTTCAACTAATCACTTGAAACCAGTGGTACAGGTTGACAAGCATAGCAGTATTAGATGAAAGGCAAGAAGTAATTGTATTGAAATTGCTGAGACAAGGGCTAGCTTCAGTTTCTGAAAGATCACAGTCACTTTGACCTATACTTTTTTAAAAAAATGACATCAACTGTTTTTCCCTTCATGTTTCAGTCTTTTCAGCCAGGTGACAGATGTTTGGTAAAAAATAAGTGACAAGGATTATGACCTTGAAGAAAGGATGGTCAGCTGCAGAATCTGTCATCTTACAATTTATTCTTTGTCTCAAGTCAAGTCTTGGTAGCTGCATCTTCTCAGAGAATTAGGCAGCCTCCCTGACCTGAATGTGAGGGTATATATGTGTTTTTAATCCTCTCTTTCTGTGTGCTGTGAGTTTGTGTGCATATATTCTTGTCCACATGTTTGTGCACACAGGAGGTACCTTAGAGCAGTGATGAGCTACTGGAATGGGAGAGCACATTATGATCCTCTCCTGCTCTACCATACGATCCTCAGCTTAATCTCAAGCACTTTTCTTCAAACCATTTTTAATTCCTCTTTCGCCTAGCATAAAAGAATGCAAGGTGCCCAGAAGAGGGAGTTCAGGATACCTTTGCTTGCATCTGGTTTGCATGGGTTTGAATTAGTAGCAAATACACTTCATTCCTTCCTCAATTCACATCTCCTAGTTATTTGTCAAAATTCAGCTTCAGTGGATAATCACAAAATGATGCCTTGCAGGGAAGCAGAAGGCAGCCAAGTGTAATTGGGAAGGGAATATGTGCAGGAAGCAGCAGCAGAGACTGGTGGAAGCAATGTAGACCTCTAAGTTAACAGGGTATGGGAGAAGTGGCAAAGGAGTCAAAGACGCTGCCTAAGGTCATGAGGAGGAACAGAATGGGAGAACAAAAGACACATTTCTGCCTTTTGTACCACAATAGAAACGCTAATTACAGGTTTGGATCTAGGAAGTAAAATTCAACCTCCTTTAAGGAAAATTACAACCAAGAATCTTAACAGCAACTGAGGCGCTTTTGTCACTTACATATGTCTTTTTTCTGGTGATGTTGCCATCAGTTTCTCTCAGACTAGGAGGGCTAGCTCAAAAGAGCATGCCACTATTACACTGAAAAATATTTCTAAATCCCAACAGAAAGAATCCTCTGTAGTGAATTCTTCCTTCCTCTAATTCAATTTTGCCACCTTATAATACTTTTTTGAGGTTACATTAAAATATCTTGACCCAGAATCTTCCAAACTGATGTCTGGTATTAAATTATAACTGCCATCATCCCCTCGATATGTTCCACACACCTAGAAAGCTCCATGTTGTGGAAGAGTAACTTACATCTATGGCGGTGAGCTTTTTCAAAGTTGTGAACAAGCAACACAGTTTTCCCCTCCTCCACATTAGGCAGTAATGTAACGACCTATTAAGTTCTTGTTCTCAATCTGTTTAAAATAAGCCTCAGAAACTACCCTGATTACATTGTCCATAAAGAAATCTTCTATTCCTAGAAGTTACACTTCTGAGCTGCTGGGTAGTACTTATTCTTGGACAGAAAAGAGTCTGAAGTCTGCAATAAAACTATATTTTTGAACATTACAGAGATACATTACCCGCTCCGCATGAGACTGAGCATTTGGAATGGATGACAGCCCATGTATAGTTATGTTTCTGCACTGTTGTTCTTTCACTTTCTGCCTTAGGAAGGGAGTATTCCCAGGCAACTCCTGGGTTTTTACCTTGAGAGAGTAGCTGATGAAGAAAACAAGAGAGGAAAATTATGTATATATCACTTCCTTAGCACTGGGGTCATGTTTTGAAAACAAACCTAGTTCGAGATTTTCCCCGATTAAGGAATCATAAAGGAGAGGGCATCATGCCTTGAAAAATATCTGTGAAGATTCTCAGTCATCCAGGTGAGGTTATCTGGAAGTTGAGACAGACTGAAGAAGCTACTTGGATGAGTACTGAAACATTTCAACCTAATGAGAAAGAAGGCCAGTTGCCATGACTCAGCTTCCACACACCTTGAAAACAGCATCAAGGATATACCCAGGGTTGTTGGCAAAAGCGAATTCTGAGGTGATCTTAGAAACATGTGCAAGGATTATAAGTGAGCTAGCAGATTTTACCACCAGGGAATTTAAATTGCAGCCAAAGTACTGGGATGGTAAGGGGTAGCTGTCCTCCCCCAATACTTTTGGTGATATAATCCCCTCAGAGGTTTTAGACAGAGAGGAAGAAAGAGATTGCTGCCTCCATCTTCAACCCACCCAAGCACCAACCCTCATCCTCATGGCAGTAAACAGCAGTTCCAGGGAGAGCTCAAATCAGGGAAATGATTCCTGGTGACTCCATTTCTTTTCCTTCTGCCATTCAAACCAGATGTAAGCCCTCATTCCATGAAGCTGCTGTTAAGCAAATAAAGATATTGGAAGATCTGATTATGACATCTTCCCTTTCCCATCTTCTTTGGCAAGTTCTAAATAAGGGTAAACTGTACATATTTCAAAGGAATTTTTTTCATGTGTCTGGTCAGATGGAAGTGCTAAAATAAATTTTGATTGATTAAAAAATCCTTGGAATTATTTTATTATTCACCCTCTGAAGAAACTTTAAGCTATCATGTCAGAAAATTATTTATTTTAAGTTGAGTCCCATTACAACCAAGAAACTCTCTTCAAGAGACTGGAGATTGGAATTAGTGGGGGGTTGTTATTCATTTATTTACTTATCAGGGAAGGTGATCAAGGCCACATACAACAGCTAAAATATATATGTTTAAAAGCATGATAAATTAAGATATTAATATTAAAATGTGATTAAACCTGAGCAATGTTAAAAACATCATTCTTAACATCATGTTAAGAACATGCTGCATCCCCTATAAATTGCAATATTTCTAAATTAGTATTAAAAAAGAAACAAAACAAACAACTATACATTGGGCATATTCTTCATCCGAACATACAGTATCTTGAATTTTGAAGGGGAAGTAGCTTGCGCTATGGCTGCTGAAGTGGTATTTTGCATCTGGCATGCAAGCAGTTGAGCCATAAGCACTACAAGCCCTCTCCGGGTTCTGCCTCACTCTTGGGTTTTCAAACTGATCCACAGAATGTGGCATGATGAGCAGTGACACCTTTACTACCATAGGTTGAATATCAGGAAAAACTTCCTAACTGTTAGAGCAGTACGACAGTGGAACCAGTCACCTTGGGAGTTGGTGAGTACTTCAACACTGGAGGTATTCAAGAAAAACTTGAATAATCCCCTGGCAGATATGCTTTGATTGTATTCCTGCATTGAGCAGGGAGCTGGACTTGATGGCCTTGTAGACCCTTTCCAACTTCACTTTTCTATGATTCTATGATCACATGAACTGCTGTGTCAGCACAGCAACTATAGGATCATGTGCAAGCTATCCGCATGCTTGCCCATCCCACTGCTCCTCTTTAATTCCTTAGGAAGTGCCAGATATATATAGTATGTTTAAATATCCAAGTTACTGATTAGAAACACAAATAGTAAATTACAGTGAAATATCTAAAGTGGGCTTTATTAATTAAAATTATTTATTTGAAATATCTTAAGTCACAGGAATCTGCATCCCCACACAAGATTGTGGGTATGATTTATTTCTGACTTAACTTAATTAACTTAATCTGAAAATATCTACCCACCACAACAGCATCCAAGTGAAGACCTCTCCAATAAAATACAGGACATTCAGTTGTTGTTGTAGGGACATACACAGATGGCCTCTCAACAACTCCCTCCTACTGGCAAATCATTCCCAGCATGGCCATAATTATATGTAAAAGTAATATTATCATTTGGTCTAGGGAGATATCTCAATGACCTTCCCTCTGGCTGAAGAAGCACGCAAGACTTCACAGCCTTCACCATGGCTGTAGGAACAATGTGGCTCGCACAGGAATGTCATTGGGCCACACAATACATTCGCCTATATATCTGGCTGTGGTGGGTATGAAACAAGGGAAGGCTAAGTTGAATGACTGCTGCACACAATGGTAATATGCCCTAGATTTTTTGCTAGATCAGAAGCATGAATGTTAAAACACAACAGTCCAGACACATTTAACATTATGAAACTTTACACTACAACATCACATACCTCTATCACTAGGCTTTCATTTGTAGGCCCGGAAGAACTTAGTACCTCTGGCTGATTAGGTGGCCTTCGATAATCAAACACAGACCCAGCAAACCTGTACCTCCCTGGCCAGTCGACAATCCAGTGGCCGTTGAGGTGGTATTTTTTATTATAAGCACGCACAGCAATATAAGAATGTGAGATGTTCATTTCATACACACGAATGCTTCGTGCTCCAGCAGGGATGGTGACTAATGTGTAGTACTCTAAAATGCAGGAGAAAGAAAGATGCTGCTCAGTATCTTACCAAGGACAAACTGCAGAAAGGAGGCTGAAGGGCATTATGAGTTCATCAAGTTTTTATCCTAGCACAGGACTCCACTGGGAATTAAAACTGGCAGCCAAATAGCTATAAAACCCACACATTACAGTCTGGCTTACAACACAATCCTACACATGCTAACTTAAGAGGAAGGGCTAAGTTCAATGGGACTTACTTCCACGCAAGCATGTACAGAATGCAACTCAAGCTTGGAGCTCAAACTTCACAGCCTTTATTGAGCACAGAAAGGAGTACTATGTATTTGTTTCCAAATGTCACATGCTGCACTCTCATTGCAAAAGCTATCAAGGTCAGCAGACATTGAAAGGCACTTAAGCAACTATACTAATTAGCTTTAAAATTACAAATTTAATTTCAGGGTAAGAAAATGCTGGCTTTTTAAAAAGTACCTGTGCAAAACAGGATACTGCATGAGCACTGAGTGTGCTTAGTGGAAAGGATTGTAGGTGGCACACAGAGAAGGGCAGGAAGACAAGTTCTTGTACTCCGAGCCTCGTTACCAATAAGCACCAATATCCTGAGTGGACCCAGGAGAGAACAGGAAGCCAATGTAGCTCCTTCAGAACTAAGGCTGTGACTACACAATCAAATACCGCAGGATTTACTCTGCTTAGGATACAAATGATTTTGAATTATTTCAAGGGTCAGTTTGAATTGGTCTGGCCCTTTTTTTACTCAGTGTGACTTTTTCTCTCTGCTGCTGGGGGCTTCTAATTCTGTCAGGCTGGAATAATTCAAATGTACTTTTTTTCTGTGTGATCAATTGATTCATTCTTGTAAAGATGGTGTGTGTGTGTGTATTTGTGGGTGGTGTTTCAGTGTGGCAGTTAAGGTGTGATGTTCAGGATCATAGGAATGCCTGACCCCATGAGCTTTTTTCCCTGATTGTTCTCCAAAATTCTTTATATATTTTCACAATACTAGTGAAAAAGTGATCTTGAACTAATATCCTATTGTATTGATATATGAATTTAGCATTATATTATCTCCTGATGAGATTTTTTTAAAAATATGAACAAAACAGAAACAACTGAGATGAAATAAAAGATGTTCCCATGGTATGTGGAATTTCTGTAAACCTTAAGAAATTTGGAATGCTGCCACCTTTTCTAGAATACTGCACAACATTTTCAAAGCCAAGTGGCTTGACAGCATAAAAGGATTGGCAGAATCAGGACCAGAATAAATAAGGAAAGAAGGGGTGCTGGTGTGTGGGGGCTGAAATGCGAATTGAATCACATTTGAGTATGAACACTGAACGCCCCTGTGTGATCACTGGCTGTGAATTCAGTCCTAATAATATATGCCGTGAATCAAATTGCAGCAAAAGCTGATTTACAGCTTCAGAGTATTGAGTATGGTTCTACCTAAACAAATTACCCAGAATATTGGCAGCTACAAAAGAAAGGGTCCTAGCCTAACATCCTCTTCTAATCCTGAACTGTCATTTGAAGAGTAGGTGAAACAGGGCTAAAGAACTCTGCAAAATATTATAAACCATATTTTTATTTTTTAGATAGACCAAATTATTGAGGAAGTAAAAGCACATACATTACTGTTGTGCTTCACAGCCTTTCTGGATTGCTTTTGTTCATCTCTAGTAATCAGTTCCAGTTCCGTCGGAGAAGACCTCTGGCATATACTATTCTTTCCTGGATTTTAATAGATGTTGGCGGGATCCAAAGGGTGGGAGTAAAGGCAGCAGGCTAGTTTCTTTCCTCCCATCATTGCCTCAGTGCTCCCGTAGACCTTAAAGTCTCTCTGCTCCTATCCCTCACTTCTCTTATCCCACCCTGGAGCTCAATTTCTCCCCTCATCATTCTCATCAGCCTCCCACATACACCTCAGATATTTGTTTTCCAGCCCAAAAACACACCCTGCCCCCTGCTTGAGAATTTCCCTCTTATTCTCTGTTTCTATACTCCAGTTGTTTTACAAATATGCAATACGCCAGGCTTTCCCCTCTCCTTTCACTATATGCAGATTGCGTGGGTGTGGGAATGAAAGTCAGGAAAGGGGAAAAATTGTGAGCATGCTGAAAACAAAATGCAATTGTATTTTATGATTGCAAAACTCTCCCTAGTATCACCCCTGTAGCCCCAGGGCTACTGAGGCAAGGTCTCTGTAGAAAAGACCTGCATGTTGAGAGGATAGCATGATGGCATGTTGCTTGTCCCCAAGATGCCTCTCTCAGTTCTGTCTCAGATCTATTCAGGATGGTCAGTTCTCACTGAGCACTTTTATTCCCCATAATTCAAAGCTCATCCTAATTGTGTCTGGGGCTGATGAGGAACAGTATTTCAACACATCTGGAAGGTGTGAACCTGAACAGAGACTGGAAATCTTTGGATAGCAATATTTATTATCCATATGAAGCATCTGGATGTTCAAAGCACTTCACATATATTATCTTGTTTCTATGGAAGGTACGGAGAATGTGTGGTCTTCTAGATGTTGGACTGCAACTCTCATCATCCCTGGCCAAGCTAACTGGGCAGATGGGAGTGGCAATTTAACAAGATCTGGAGGAGCCACACACTGCTTCTGATAAGGACTGCATGCCTTTAAGTATTCTTACCATCCATCTCATATTGCAGGTGGGGATCTGATGCTGAGGCATGAGTGCTATGTAAGGCCAACTAAGGAAAATATGTCAGAGCTGATAAGCAATTCAAAGGGGAGTCCCAATTCCATTCTCTGCCCCTTATCTTATGTCATAAACTGTACTGAACACATTATGGTTGCCAAAATTCTTGGTGTATAAAATGCACAAGCTATAGGCCCCTGAAAAAAATTACGTGGGATATTGAAAAGGAAAAAAGCTCTTGAAACACTTACGATTTGTGGGGAGGTGTTTTGTGAACTGCCCCTTGTACATTTTACAGCTTGCATTATCTCCTTTGCATACTCCACAAGCATCTTCCACAGCACTGGAACCTAAGATATGATCACAGCCAACCATCTGCAAAGACAGGAGCAACTATTTGTTTCTAAATCCAAGTAACAGTGATACTTCAAAGTTACAAGAACAATACTTGACTTTTCAATTCTCTGAGCCTGTATCAGGTAATGACACAAATTTTTGCAGGAAAGCCACCACATTTTCAAATTCCTTAGCCATAAGTTAACATGATGAGACAAAAGGCTCAGTGAGAAGACAACAGCTCATCGGAATTTCTTCTGAACTTCTTAGGGGTCATAACACAAAACAATAACTGCTGGATAACTCAATGCGGTTTAAGTATCTGGCTGCAGAGCCAGGAGTTAGCAGTTCAATTCCCTACTGAGTCTCCTTGATATGGACTGGAGGGGCCCTTCCAGCTCTGTAATTCTAATCAATCTGTGTCAATTCCCAACAAATTTATTTTGGCTTCTCTTACATTCTCACTCTCACACATGCCTTCCGTGGATCTCCACTAAGAGTCTACCTGCCTTCTTGCTCTTCTGCAGGACTTCTGGGGCAGGGGGGAAGAGAAGCAAAGTAAAATAGGATAGAAAAAACAGCAGAGCTCAACAACTTACTGATGCTTCAGAGCAGGAACGGTCAACTTTTAGGTTATTGTTGCCTCATTCCTAGAATCTGTTCTGTGTAACTGTTTTACTCAGCCCAGTTCCAATATTGTTAGTGATTCTAGATGGGTAAAATATTTGAGGGGAAAAAGACTATGGGGAGGTTTATTTATTTTAAAATCATGTTTAAAGCTGGAATGCAACAATTAGAATTGCCCAACAATTCCAAGTGGAAATATAACAATAAACAATATGAAACAAAAATAACATAATAAACATCCCCAAACCCAACAGGAATTATGAATAAAATGAGAAGCCCAAAAAGCTGAAGGAAGGGTAGTAAAAAGAAGAGTTTTTGGAGCTTTCCTCATGGAAGCTGATTCCAGAGGTGATTTCTATTTAGGTCTGGAAATGTGAGGAGCTTCCTCTGATCTCATACTTGTGCTTTGGCTAGGGATGTGAAAAAGATCTCACTGCTGGCAAGATTTTGATTAAGAAAAGCTGTCACAATATGGCAAGACAAATTTTTGAGGATTGTCCTAGGCTTATGAAAGGAAACAGGAGCCCCTTTCCCTATCATGTTTTCCACAATTTCTACAAATTGCCATGATTTTTTAAACTAACATATTTTCCTTTTGTGTAGCCAAGTATACACAGAGAAAGCACAGAAGGACAGCTGATTGATCAACAAGGTGCAAACAACCCATTAGATGCTGCAACTTCTCCTAATTCGTAAGACAAGCACTACTTCTAACAGAATGGAAATGCACAAGATCTCTACAAAACATATTATGTTTTTTTCCTTGCCATTTGGGGGCAGGGAGAAAAATTTTCCCACTGTCTTATTTATGTTGAGAGAAAGATGGGATATAAATACAATGCAATATGATAAAGTCTATTAAAATAAAATAATAAGGTATAATGTTTAAAAAACTCTCTGAAATGCCCTGTGCCTTGTATGTTCTGTAGCCTATTGGGAAAAAAATATATAGAAAGAAAATAAATAGAAGTCAACTGTTACCTAGAAAACAATCAGCTATTTCAGAGGAACAATTTCAATAGTGCTTTTAGAATGTCCATTCTTAGGACTGAAGTTCATACTGAATTGACATATGATGCCATACCCTTCCTGCTATGCATTAATTGTTACATCAGTTTGCGTTGTTTTTGTCTTTTGTTACAAAATGACTCTCTCCAAACCATTTTACTTAAAAATGGAAGAGGGGTGATTTTACCAATTCGAGTCTACTTTTCCTGTGTAAACTGGTGTGTGTGTGTGTCTGTGGGGGGGGGCACTTACACATCACCAAAAGGGAGGACCTGCATCATCAAAAAGGAAGGCAACTCTTCAAATGGAGGGCATGTGGTCACCCTTAGAAACAAACAGGGCAGATGTATAAGACAACAACACACAAGGCTGCCCTACGCATTACAACTGGTTTGGCCCTAAAGGCAGAAAGGACTGCAGCCCTGGTTGATTCATCTACTGTTTAGAATTATTCAACCTACCAAGCCATATTTATCTGAAAACACGCTGAGAATAGAACAAGCAGTCTGGGACAGCACATGATTACCACCAAATTAGCAACTCCCCTTTGCTTCCCCTTCTCTGCCTAGACAGCATGTAGTAGTACAAAACGTGTTTCATGATGTCAGCATGCTAGGAGTTCCCTGTTGCCATTCCATTTATTTGGCTGCTGCCTGCCAGAGAATTTGCAGCTCAGTTTGATATTAGGAGACATTACCCTAGTGCAGAAAAGAAGTTAAAATGACTAGTAATGCTTCTGGCAGCACCCATACCATCCCTGCAATTTCTACCTCAAGCGTGACATTTTACGTACTATCTCTTCATTGCTAATTAAAAACTACAAATGTGAGTTAATGGTAAAAACAAAGCACCTTATTTCCTCATTACCTCACAGATCCCATCTATGCAAACATTAGGGCTATCTTCTGAACAGGGTGTCCCATCTTTTACTTTGTTTGACAGAGAAAAGAAGAAATCAAAGCCCTCGGCAATACAGTAGAGCTTGCACATGTCTTGATCTGAAATGCAAACAGAGTAACATGCAGCCTGTTATTTTTGTTCATCATACTGTTGTTAGAAAATCAGGAGTCAGAGATTAATAACAAAGTGTCTTGTTTTCAGAGAGGCAGCTGGTCAGTCAGTTTGGACAAAAACCAAAATGTGCTATCTTTAAAAAATAACAGATTTATTTCAGTGTGTGCTTTTCTGGATTAAAATTCACTTCTGTCACATCGCTTGTTCAGATGCAAGAAGTGGGCTACACACCACCTCTCAACATGCACTTGAATAAGTTTGTAATCCATGAAACCTCAGACTGAAATAAATGTGTTAGATTTAAATGTGCAACGAAGAGTCTTGTGGCATCTTGAAGATTAACAAATTTTATTTGGTATAATCTTTCATGAACTTCAGCCCTATTTATTCATATGAATACAGTGAAGTCTCAGAGAGTACTAAGCTGCACAGCTAAAGTCATTTAATTCCACTTTAATTGCATTGATTCCACCCTATGGGGTCCCGGATTTCTAGTTTGGTGGTGACAGACTCAATATTCTATGCAGGAGAGATACAGTGCTCATCTATTAACTGTATCAAATAATTCTAAGTATCTCACCAAACTACAGATCCCAAAAATTCCACAGAATGGAGCCATTAGAGTTCTAGAATCATGCTGCTGTAATTGTGTAGTGTACAGTAAATACACTGTTAGTAGGAAGAAGATAACACTTGTTATCTGAAGACACTAAGATACATCTTAAGTCGTAGGCTTCATTCAGTTCATGAAAACTTATGCCAGTCAAACTTGTTAATCTTTAACACAAGACTCTGTGCTATTTTTGCTGCTTAAGTTAGGAAAGTGTCTGAGGCTGGTTTCACAATGCATCATCTTAGCAGAAGCTACAAATGTAGAAAATACCATCAAAATACCATTCTCTTTGAGAATGAAGATACAGTATGTGTTCTCCCCAGTCAACATGGGAAAGGAGAAAATATTAGAAAACAGGAGGCACAGTGGAGAGTGGGTTGCTGCCTCTTGCTACTGCTGTCATCCTGATCAAGTCCCTTCTGCCTGCAAATCTGTAGGGCCTTTTCTGCTAATACAAAATTGTAACCATGAGGCTCTGATTGGCTGTCAATGCAAAGTGCTGCATGGTCCACTCCAAGGACTGCAATGGTGGGAAACATTAAATGCCTTTCTGCTCCTGTTAACATTCAATAAGATTCAAATGAGGAAGCCCATATCTACAACTTGAACCAGAAGAAACTGCCAGTGGAGCAACAGGAGGCTTTATCCCATTGCAAACTCTGTGTGCATTGAGTGTGTGATGCATGAATGTGAGATAGAGAGAGAGAGACGCACCATGAGTCTGTGTTTGCCTGAGTTTAAGAACAGAATGAACGGGTGAATGGAGTAAGCTTGTTTGTGAGTGTGAACAGATGGAGGGCCAATGCATTTATCTGTATGCACATGAGAGTACAGTGAATGATCAGGTCTGCTATGGGATCTAGCTAAGCCTACTTCTGGCACTTCAGGCATATAGCCTGTAATCCACTGTCCCCAAGAAAAGAAATCTCTCAGGGTGGTGGAAAATATTCATGACCCCAATGCTCGGCAGTTAGCTGATGTAAGGAATGTATTCATCATTGTTCAAAAGGCATAATAATTAAAGGTATACTACTTTAACTAAACTCCGGGAGACAGTGGAAGACAGGAGGCCCTGGCGTGCTCTGGTCCATGGGGTCACAATGGGTCAGACACGACTTAACAACAAATACTACTTTTATAGTACAGTAATTAAAATCCACGGTTTTTTTAAATCTCATAATTCGGTTAGTTTTATTGTTCCCTGTTCATTTCTAACTTGTAGTTAATGTGACTATAAATCTCTGAGCTCAACTGACAACAAAACGATTTTTCAAATATATTTTAGAATCTAACAGTATTTTTCATTGTTTATTGGGAGAACAACATACTTCAAAAAGCAATACTTAGCCTTCTCTTCTAATCATCTCTTTCAAGAGCTACTCAAGAGATGGAGGCTCTTGAGTTGAAGGCATTAATTACTGAATACAAAATAGCATACTAAACTATGAACACATCTCAAGGTAGAAGCCTCAGGCATTCTAAGAAGGAAACTTAAGGTAAAATATATATTTTTATTCCATTGGGTGAATGCATGTAATTATGTTTCAGTGAATGCAACTGTCCTGTTCTTGGATGGGCTGGTTAACTGGGTGTCTTGGTAGATCATTTATTCCAGTAACCCATGAAGTCTGAACATTTCTGAATGAACAGATGAGCATTTTCTTCAGCTCATGAGATCCCTGAGCAAGTGACGAAGTGCAACACTTTGGCAAATAGATCTACTACTACCTAGATATTATTTCCTTCTGAAATGAGTAATAATATATAATTACATGACGTGAAATTGATTTTGACTTATAAGAACTTTTTCCTTGGTTTTCTAGGCAGAGAGTACACAGAAGTGGCTTACCATTCCTGTCTTCTGGTAGCACCTTGGGACTATGCAGCTTGCCCAGAGCCACACAGTCTGAGTCTAATTGCAGGAGGCTTACTGAGGAATTGAATTCCCAGCCTCTGGCTCTGTAGCCAGATACCTAAACTACAGCGCTATCTAGCCCCCTTAAAAAGGGTGTGTGTCTGAATGGAGTCTCTAGGATGAGCAGGAAGCCTGATGGCTTAGCTGGCTCTGTTTTCTGGGACTATGCAGCTTGTCCAGAGCCACACAGTCTGAGTCTAATTGCAGGAGGCTTACTGAGGAATTGAATTCCCAGCCTCTGGCTCTGTAGCCAGATACCTAAACTACAGCGCTATCTAGCCCCCTTAAAAAGGGTGTGTGTCTGAATGGAGTCTCTAGGATGAGCAGGAAGCCTGATGGCTTAGCTGGCTCTGTTTTGGCTTAAGCAGGTTTCAAAGGCTGCCAGGGCAACCAAAAGGACCTCTTTTAGAGCCCCCAATGCCCCACTGGCTGGATATCATAGTGCAGCCATAAGACTTTAGTGTGGGGTGAAAAATTCAGAGCCTTTCCCATTATATAAGAATACATTCTACATAGAGAAGGATGAGGGTTGATCTTCCTTGATGAGAGTCTGCACATATGGGTCCTGTTGTTGTCAACCACAGATCCTTTCTGTAGTCAACAACAAAGATCCCAAGCACAGTGAGATCTGGGTTGCTGCACAGTTCTAAGGGCACAGAACCCTGGACAGCAAGCAGATCGTCCTCCCTGTCCAAAGAATACCAAGGCATCTGAATCAAAGTATCTGCTTCTTTCTGTTGTTTGGAATGTAAATTATGGTAAAGTTGAACTCAGAACCACTGAATCTGTTGCTCATTCAGCCTGGATGCTGTTTCAAAGCACTCCAGGTTTCTATGGTCAGCTGGCACCTGAATGGGGCATGCTACCCCCCACCCCCATGTGTTGTTGTTGTTTAGTCATTTAGTCGTGTCCGACTCTTCGTGACCCCATGGACCAGAGCACGGCAGGCCCTTCTGGCTCTCCTCTTTCACCCTCATTACAAGGTTTGTTAATCCCTCCTCCCTTTATGCCATCAGAGCGGCATCATCTGCATATTTATTTATTTATTTATTTATTTGATTTATATCCCGCCCATCTGGTATATTATATCACTCTGGGCGGCTAACAACAAACATGTATATCAGAGGTTGTTGATATTTCTTCCGGCAATCTTAATTCCGGCTTGGGATTCCTCCAGTCCGGACTTTCGCATAATGTATTCTGCATATAAGTTAAATCAGCAGGGGGACAATATACAGCCTTGTCGTACTCCTTTCCCAATTTTGAACCAATCAGTTGTTCCATATCCAGTTCTAACTGTTGCTTCCTGTCCCATGTATAGGTTTCTCAGGAGATAGATAAGGTGGTCAGGCACTCCCATTTCTTTAAGGACTTGCCATAGTTTGCTGTGGTCCACCCCCGCATAGATGCTGCCAAACAGTAAAACTAGCTAGAGTCAAACTGTCCCTGTTGGGCACATCTATCACTGCAGGCACCTGTCTTGACTACAAATAGTACCTGGGAGGTCAGGATGATGTACAGCAGGTTGTGATGTGAGTATCTCCTTCTGGAAGGATTGGTAAGCTGTAGAGTCTGACTTGAGTGATACTTGGGACCTGAACAGGGTTGAGGTGGGGCAATTAGCTTGACTAAGCTGGAGGTGAAACTCCAGTAGCAATTTGCAAAACTCAGGAAGTGCTGTATATCCTTTACTTCTACACAGGTATGTCAGGAGAGGGTAGTCTCCACGTTGGCAGGGTTCTCCCTGTACTCTGAAGAGAATAGGACTGAGAATATGCAGTCCTACAATGAAAACGTCAGAAAGATATTTCCCCAACTTTGCATACAGGCAGTGTTTTCAAAGCTTCTGGAAGAGGACTCTTGACACGGTAGATGTCTTCATGGGAATGCAGAGAATAGATCACACTACCATCTACCTAAACAACAAAGTGATCTAAGAAGTCCTGGAGAATGTCATTCATAAAATGTTGGAATGTAGCAGGAACATTACACAGGCTGCCTGGAATCGCTATATACTCAAAATGTCCATATCTAGTCAGGAAAGCTATCTTCCATTATTAGTTGCACAGTAGACTATAAGTATTTAAACTTTCAGAATCTAATTCTCACACCATCCATACTCATAAAATCAAACTATTTTAGTTTGAAAAATATAAATTTAGAATGACCTTTACCTCTAACTCTGCAAACAATACATAGTAAAGGGTTGTTAGGTTACAACCCAAAAAATGGCCATGTCTATGAAAACCCGGCTAAAGGAGGAATGCAGAAGGGTGCAATCCATGATTGGCGAACATCAGTTTCACATGCAGAGGTCTCATGTCGACCTTCTATTACGTGGCTACCTAGCAGTTGTAGCAAAAAGGTTAAATGATGTGGTGCCATCAGTTTCTTTGGGGGAACGGTGTCCCTCCTTGTGCATGCAGTACTATAAGCTGGGAGACAGGAGGTGGAAGGGTCAGGTCCCTAAGTTTAAAGGAGAGAAATTCAATCAGATTGAAGTTCACCTTCCACTTGAGTATAGGGTTTCCACTTGTAGTGCCATCCTCTGAAGCGCCTGCTGTTGAATTCTGCACACTGAGCAGCTCTGAAGTCGATGCTGTTCTTTGGGCACTTCTGATGGTTGCACAGTTTCAACATCCGAGGGGAACCTTCACAGAATTTTCCACCATGGGATGGTCTACGGCATTAAATGGAAGAACTTTGTCACATAAGGTGTTAATAGCTTTAATAACATATATTAAACACCTCCACAGTGAAGGACGAAGTAAGCATTCATAGTAAAATTTCGACTAATTTAAGTTTGTCAAGTTCTCTTGGCTCTGACACACAATTCTTACAAATACAAATAAAGCTTTTCCTATCTGTACAAGAAGCATCTAATTTTCACAGCTAAGGAGAGATCCAAACAGAGTCCCAACTTCACAACTCATGTGTTAAACTGCTTCCCAGATGGACAGGGACTGTCTAAATTAGGAGTGGCCCACAGTTTGCAAACTCATGCATAAGTGGTCTAAAACTGTGATGGAAGGAAGGCTTACGTCCCCTTTTCTTTCTTTTAAGATCTATTTTTAAAGTCAGTGATTCTGCTAGCACTTGCAGCGACAAGAAAACCAGAATTCTTGCTACCACTCTACTTCTTCCTCAAGAGTACTTAAGGTGTGAATATCAATGTATGTGGGCATTTCAATACATTTTGTTACAAAGAGATGCTAACCTTGTCTGGTGCTGGTACAGATTTTGGAACATCTCTGCTGCCAAAAATGCTTCTGTGTGGAGCCTGACCCATTGTAGTGCAAGAGGGTCAATGATACTGCATATTCCAAAGCTTCATGACTTGGCGAGGGTACATTAAGGCTCTTAAAATGGTCTTCTCTGTGCCAAATGAAGTGAACTGATAATCTCAGGGAACTGCAATGATTTATATAGTTTTATAGCCCATGTTTATCCCGTGCAGAGTAAACAACTCACAGCTACTGGCAAATTGTATTCCTGCTGCAATTACCCAGCATGTACATGGTAGCAACAATACTTTGCCCTGGTGAAACTGGTCAAGTGACGATAAGGGGCAAAAAAGCCTTTTCCAATCTAAAATAGTGAGGAGACAAGACCTGCTGCCTGGAATAAAGATGTTTTTGACTACTAAAACACCTTTTCAAAAGTCACCTTCCAGCACAATGCTATATCAACATGAACAGAGGTGGTCAGACTGCAAAACTTTCTCCCTGATGTCACAATTTTTAACATGCAGAGAATATTTATATATAAAATTAACAGTAAGAAAACTGGAGCCTCTCACATTCAGTTGCTAACTCTACTATTTTACCTCACTCAGTTCTACACTGTCAACAGCACTTATCTTTATAAATCAAGTAGACACCACATTAGATATAGCCATGTAGCTTTATGTGTTCAATAAGAAACATCTGTGTCTATCTGGACTGATCAGTCAAGATTACTAAAGCTGTTTCCCTCTTCATTTTCTGAAGGTGCCTGGTCATCCAACTTCAAAGCAGCTGGAAGATGCAATGAAATTGAATTGCTATTTCAGAGTTTCTCTTGATATATAATGATTAAAGGTATCTTTCAAACAGTTCACTTTCAAGATAATTGACACTGCTGTTGATTTGCACAAAGAAAATATTTTAAATATACACAAGACATCTTTAGCTGAGGAGAAAACAAACCATGTCCGTGTTCTGCAGTGATTAGTGTGCCTGACTTAAGACTGTAGAGCAGTGCTGTCGAACTGTGGCCCTCCCTGTCCATGTTCTGCAGTGATTAGAGTGCCTGACTTAAGACTGTAGAGGTTCAAATACTGACAATGCCAACCAGCTTACGGAAGGACCTTCAGTGAATACTGACAGTGCCAACCAGCTTACGGAAGGACCTTCAGTCAGCCACTTAGGCCTCTTAGCTTAATCTACTTCACCAAGCAGTTGTGAAGATGAAAGAGAAAGTCCATTATGCTGTCCTGAGCTTCCTATGGTGCTGGTCCCCAACCTTCTCTGAGTCACGGATGGGTTGGTGGGGGTTCATTTGTGGGGGGGTTCATTCATGGGTGGCACCCCCACACTTGCATGCAGGTGGGTGGAGCATGCTCATGTGTGAAGCGGCAGAGTGCACTCGCAGAGGGGTGGGGTACGCTCGCACGAATACACAGAGTGGTGGAGCGCACTCACATGCATTCGCAAAGAGGCAGGGCACACTCGCAAACATGAGCAGAGGAGAGGGGTGCGCTCGCAGGTGGGAGTGGCCATGGCATGGTTGTCTAATGCAACTAGCAATAAATGTTGATCTCTCTCAGTCTTGCTGTTTAAAATCCTTGTAGGTAAACATCTTGGAGGTTGGAACTACAGCATTAGGAACAGCAGACAAGAGGTCTTCTGCTGGTCCATGGGCAGCTGCACCATACTTGCTCTCCACAGTGGTATAATTGACTGTTTTGAATCTTAGCACTATAAGCAAAGAGATGCACCCAACTCATTTGTGATGCATAATATTGTGTCCTAGTGCCTGACCCACTGATGTTATCCACAGCAGCACTTATTGCTGTTTTCTGCAATGTACATCTGATTACATAGCTTTCCAGCTTTCACAAAGCGAAATCCTCCAATACCTTGGATTAGTACAGTTTCGTTCCCGATGAGATATGCCTCCTCCACATGTTCTGGAACATGATGACCACCTGGACCACTCTGACCATTGCCCATGGGTTGGCTTGGGTCCTTCATCACCATATTTCACACATTGGCCACCACGACACCACTGCAAGGTAGAATGATTTTGAATCTGAAGCTTTCCTTTGCTCACTATTTTAACATTTTAACAAACTGAAGTAACTTAAAATCAAGTATTTTAACATTAAACATGCACACTGAAATAACAGTTTTTTATTTGCATAAGCTATTGGTCTACACATCAGTTTGCTGTGTGTAATTAGTAAGCACTATGCTCACCACCTCTATAATGAATTAATTGATTGGATTTAAGATGAAGATATTATGGTACTAGAACAAGCAGGATTTAGCGAGGGACTATCTACTCCAGAAAATAGTTTCATTTTAGCCCATTTTACTTTTTTTTTTTAAAAAAAGAGGTGTTTTGTATGCAATATTTATTGTTGTGATGGTAGCATTTAATTAAATACCTTGGGCAAAACTTTGGGAAAAATTATTCACAACTACAAATAAAATGCATATTTTTAAAATTAAATACTTTACAGTAATTAAAGGTTATCTTAAAGATCCCATGTCTCTTACAAAAGAGGTTAGGCAAGATAACTCCTACATGTGTTACTTGAAAGTAAGGGAAAAGAGTAACAAATGGAAAGGTGAAGGTGACTTTAATGACACTTTCAGATCTGTCAGTTAACAGCATTAAACTTTAACTTCCCAACAAAGAGGCCTTCCCATATGATCTGACAGATTCAGGACTAGCATATCATTCCCTACATTATAATCATGGTGCTTTGCTTTTGAATATCCCTCCCTTGGGCATGAATATCATACTCCAAACTGCCTGTATTCCCAGAACACCGTCTACAGACATCCTCCATCTTTACAAGAAGTAACCACATGGGAAAAAGCTCGCTCAAATCATTCTGGACTGAAAAAGTAGAGAAACCCTAGCTGCAGAAGAAAAGAGCTTTTTGGGGAGCAAAAAAGCCTGGACCAATTCAAATCAGGTTTTGCATCATGTGATCAGTAAAAATACATTTTGGATTCACCCATTTTATAAGTGGAGCAAATCCCACAGTATTTGACATGGAATTACCTCATCTCTGTTCACATATGGTTTTAGACTATTGGCATGATAAATTGTGATTAGAGAAGAGGTCATTCCTGCCCTGTATTACTTGAAAATAAGGGGAAAGAGTAATTGATAGGAGGGGGAAGATAGTGATCTCTGTTATAGAATCATTCTGACATGTGAATTATGACGTATTTTGCAGAATTATTGTTCAAACTTTTGATGTTCTGTACTCTCTGACTATTAAGTACCTTTCCATGTTATTTTTCTACAGAAAATTTTTGAGAAATTTAGTAGTATGAAGCTTTTAATGAGAAAGTGACTTGATAGCGAACCATAAAAGGATCAGCAGAGGTAGAACCAGAGGAAGGAAGGATTGGCAGAGGCAGGACCAGACGAAGGAAAGAAAGGAGGGGCGCTGTGGACTGGAAATCTGATTCATATTGCATCGAGTATGAATGGTGAATTCCTGAGTCAATCTGTAGTAGCATGTGAGCACAGATTGTGATTTCAAACATAATACAAGCTGGAAATCAAATTGGCTTTCCAGTGTTGTCCTACCCTCAGTAACAACTGAAGTTAGAACATTTTGGTCCTTAAACATAAAATTCTCCAAAGTGAACACAAATCTGTATCTATCATATCTGAGCACATAGACTTGTTGGTTGGTGGCAAACAGCCACCACGAACTGCTGCAGTTAGTTTTAAAAGATGGATTAATTGCAAAATCTTTAGGAATCTATAGCAAATCATCCATCATTGATGAATGCCCCTGTATGAAATGTCTTTTTCAACACCTGTTTGTGCCATTCATATTTTACATTAGCAAAGGGGTGGGTCTTTAGTGGGGCCATCAGAGCAGGATTCTGTGAAATATGCCCTTGACTCCACTCAGGGAAGGAGCAGAAAAGTTCCCAAACACATTACTAATAATACCACAAGGGGTAGTTACAAGATGTTCCCACTGTACTCTCATTCTACCACATGGCTGCTCTGGGGAGGGGGATGCTACTAAAATGCTGCCTTCATAAATGCTTTTATAAAATGTGGATCCAAGCCACACTCAATATAAACATAAACTTGTGCTGCTAAAGCAAGTCATGTGATGTGTGTGCGCGTACACACATATGTATATGTAAAACTGCATTCCCAACAATACAAAGAAAATGCTAAATTAAAACTTACAGAATGTTAAGTTGTGATAATTTCTTAGCATTTAGAAATCCTTTTGTAGCTAAGTAACAATGAAAACTGCAAGATATTTGGTATTTGATGTTTGACTCCCTTTGTCCAGAAGATTTATGCTTTCTTTTAAGACACCTGGACTGTGTGATAAACTACTATGTGCCCAAGGTCACACAGCTTTTTCAAGAGACAAAACAATCAAGACTGCATTGCATTCCACTGTCTTTCAGACTTGTATTGGGAATCTTAATATAACTCCCTGAGCCTGCATATTAATACAATTCTTGAGATGCAATGTGTGTATTCAAAGTGACAAAAAAAACACATTTTTTTTCATGGTGAATACTTAAGTTTTTATACATTTTATTGCACCTCAACATGGCCTGGTTTGATGTTGTGTGAGACATATACATTGCCTGTGGTAACACTCACTAAATGTGTAGGATGTGACATCATCACATCCAGATATGATATCATGACTTTTTCACTTCCTGAAAATGGAAGCCAATGACCTGGGGAGGTCAATGATTCAGATAGTGTGTTGTGCTGTATGTTTCATTTCTTTTAGATACTATCGAGTTGAGGCACATGACAAAGATACAGGATTAGCAGCATGACATAGCTTTACTCCAAAAACACTGCTGGAGATAGTGTTGATAGCCACACTATGCTTTGAATGAGAAAACAGACTACCACTGCTATTTATTCCATCATCATCATCATCATCATCATCATCATCATCAAAAGTGTATGACTTTTGTACCAGGCTCTCACCGAGCAATTAAGAATGCAAAGTAGATCCTACAAGGCTAAGCCTATGACCCTGTTATAGATGGCCAGTATAATCTTACATGTTTTATCAGAAGACAATCCTATTGAATTTATATATTAGTTTTATTTATATGCCACATTTCTCCCAACAAGGGACCCAAAGTGGCTCACAGCATTAAAATTCACACAGTAAATTAAAAACACAAGTTAACTATTAAAAGATAAATTAAACACGATATTTAAAATAAAATTAAAAGATTACAACATGAAAACATGGAAAAGATTAAAATTATCTGCTAAAATGGGTTTCAGGGTTTCAGTTATAATTGTTAAAAGCCTGCCTGAAGAGATGGGCCATTAGCTTTTTTTGGAAGGATAAAAGGGAAGGGGCCATCCTGATCTCCCGAGGGAGAGCGTTCCATAGCCTGGCAGCTGCCACCGAGAAGATCCTCTCCCGTGTCCCCACCAGCTGTGCTTATGCGAGCAATGGGACCAAGAGGAGGGTATATTCTGCTAATCAATCGCCAAGAAGGTGTGTATAGAGAGGTACGGTCCTTCAGGTAGCCTGGATCCACGCTGTATAGGGCTTTAAAGGTAACGACCACCACTCTGAATTGGGCTTGGAAACTGGTAGCCAGTGCAGTTCTTGTAACAGGTGCATTATATGCTCCCTGTAGCTGGCCCCAGTCAGTAGTCTGGCTGCAGAGTTTTGCACCAGCTGAAGTTTCTGAACTATCTTCAAAGGCAGCCCCGCACAGAGCGCATTACAGCAATCCAAACAGGATGTACTGTATTTTTCGCACCATAAGGCGCACTTTCCCCCCACAAAACGGGGTGGAAAGTCTGTGTGTCTTATGGAGCGAAGAAAACAGATTGTATTTTCCTGTTTTCTTCTCCTAAAAAAATGGTGCGTCTTATGTAAAGGTGCGTCTTATGGAGCGAAAAATACGGTAATTAAGGCATGTGTCACTGTAGCCAAATCCGACATCTCAAGTATCAGAGTCACAAAGTATGCCCATCTTCACTCCACATGTGGAAGGATTGCTCTGGGCACACACTCTTTGCCTAAGAGGGGGAATGCCTTGGCTTTATATGAGAAAAATCACTTCCATTACGTTTTAAGATGTCTATTTGCCTTGACCCTATGCTGACTGAATTTTATAATGAGATTACTAGAAATAGTTAAAAAAAGAGGGAGCTTGTAAGTGGCATCTTATCACTTATCAAAATAAAGAAGTGGAAACATCTGCAAATGCACATTTATTCCCCTTCAGCAATCTGTGCCCTGGTTAGCCACAAGACGAGCTGAATGTTCAAGTCATTCCAGTTAAAGCATTTCAGGCTTTAGATCACAGTCTTTAAAAAAAAAGGGGGGGAGGGTCTTGCTGTCACCGTCTCGCTTTGTTGACATCTATAATTTATGACCCTTTAAAAAACAGCTTAGTCAGCAAGGCATCGGAGTTCAAAAGGAAAGCTAACTCTTAGAAAGAGTAGCTGTCTGTGACATTTGACACAACCGTTCGTTTCTCATTCCAGAAATAAAATAGAAGGCAAAATGGTGACTATCGGATCTGCACAAGCTCTAGTTCTGGCTGGCTGGCTGCCCTTGGACCACTGCTGTTCAAGTCTGCTCGCCCAGCCACCTGCAAGCTCCTTTCCTCAGTTCTGAGGAATCCTTTATGGGTTACCTGGAGGAGTGTGAATGGTGCCAGTCTACCAATGACTAGGCACTTGTTCCCCGGCAACTGGTATTGAGATGCATGCTATTCCCATTCCTGGAGTTAGCATAGAGCCATCATGACAGCGGCCAACTGTGCACTGAATAATGTTTGGGAAGTTTTGTTTCTAATAGACCAGCATGGGAAACCTCCACCTCTCTTGAAGTTGATGAACTACTCCCAGCAGGCTTCATCATCTGGCTAGGACTGCCGGCTGCCACGAATTGAGTATCAACAACATCTATAGGCCACATGTTCCCCAGCCCTGTAACAGCCTCTCTTGTACAGCTAAACAATGGGTGCAACCTGCAGTTCACTACATGCTTCCTTAATGATTTAAGCAGACTGCATGTAAAATAAAAACCAACAAAAAAGAATGACACAAATAAACATATTGCAAAGCCACATAAGGTATGTATATGGGGCAGGCCAGTAGGTAACCCTGTAAACTCCAGAAAGATAGGAGTTTTACACTCTGACCAAAATTGCACTGCTTATCTGCTGCAATATACTGACTGGTTTTTCACATTCACTAACAATTCATATTTTTTCTCTAGCTTTGAAGTCTGCTCTGAAGAGTTCCAAGGGGTATCAGAAGAATATAAAGATCTAGGCAGGAACAGACCAAAGGTGTACCAAGTTGTAGGAGTTATTGCCCCATCTATGTGCAGATATGAGTTGGCACAATAGAGAAAGCAGGTGAAGACGAGACATGACAGCAGCAAAGAGAGGCACTGATTATTTTTATAAAGAACATACACCGTTTTACCAAATAATGTTAACATCAGATGATAAATTAATTAGAAAAATATATGCATTTCTTTAAAATTGGGAAAATGAAGGACAAACAGGTCAAAGAAATGATGTTCTATGGGCAAAAATTTTTGGACATAATATTGACTTTGAAAAATGGCAAAAACTGTGGTCTAGAAAGTATAAAATGACAATGGTAACATCTTATAAAGACAGTTTATATAAAGTGTTTTATATATGGCATTTACCACCCAATAGATTAGCTAAAATGTACTCTAATGTGTCAAATAAATGCTGGAAATGTCATAAAAAACCTGGAACTTATTATCACCTTTGGTGGACCTATGATATAGCCAAAATAAAATTTTTTTAAAAAAATGCACATATGGCTTGTTAAAGTAATCAAAATTTTTTGCAGATTTTAAGCCAGAACTCTTTCTATTAGGTATAATACCAAAAAGTGTTGATAAACAAAATGTATATTTAATACTTCATATTTTAACAGTCACAAGGATCATATTCGCACAATATTGGAAGAATGAAGAAACACAGATCAAGAAATAATTAAAAAGGTATTAGACTGCACCGAAATGGATAGATTGACACTGAAAAATCAAAGGAAAGGAAGATGTAGAATATTATCAAACATGGAACTTGTTTTATCAACGGTTAGAAGTACGTTGTATAGATTAAGAGCTTAATATGTATTGCAGTTGTATTAACAAATGATTATAAACTGAATGCAGGTGACATGATGTTAAAGAAGCATGGTTGGATTTTATAAATTATAATAATAATAAAAAGAAAATTTAAAAAAGAAATAATTAAAAAGATATTGGACTGTGCCAAAATGGATGGACTGACACTGAAAATCAAAGGAAAGGAAAATGCAGAATATTATCAAACATGGAACTTGTTTTATTAGTGGTTAAAAGCATGTTGTATAGATTAAGAACTTAATATGTGTTGTATTTGTATTAAATGATTATAAACTGAATGCAGGTGACATTATGTTAAATAAACATGGATGATGATGATGATGATTAGTAGTAGTAGTAGAAGTAGAAGTAGTAGTAAGAGTAATAATAGTAATAATGATAATAATAATAATTAAAAAAGAGAGCCACTGATTGATGTTACCTCCCTTATCTGACATAAACATGACACCCATTATTTCAGTGGGGCTGCAAAGAAATTTAATATACTCTGCACCTGTTAACATGTTCAGCAGGACATCAACCAAAGGTCTAGAAAACTTATTATTAATTGAGGAAGAAATTAGTGTACAACTATTAACATATGCTTTGGGGTGTATAATCAGATGAAAAAGTACATTCAGATATGTTTCCCTTGGGAGAGAACTTAGTTTTGATAGATAACTGCAGTCTTTGGATGTGCATTTGGACACATGTACTGTGTACAGCTCACCTTTTCTGGATCAGACTATGAGTGTTTAAAATCTCACATTTCAAAGGAGCTACCAGAGTATCTCATTAGATTTTCTGTTACCATTATGGATTAATCTAGACCTTAATCTTTTGGGCTTATGAGAATGATTTATGGCACACTGACATTTTAGAAACAGAAAATGGAAGAACATAGTAAGGGAAGCAAATAAACTGTATATACTATTTGATTTATGGGTGAAGTAATCATTTTAAGATTAATTGTGTATGTTATTCTTGGACAGAAACCACTTCCATTGGGACTGTCAATCAGGATTACACTCCATTTAACCTAAAAGCACATGTTGGCTTTGATGTGAAGAGCTTAAATTATGTCTGTCTGGATTCATCACGACATGCACCTTGTGCATGATAACCTTAAAATCCAGTCTGGAGTCAAATGACTCAACTATTTGGTTTGGAAAAGCAAGCTGGTACAATATTTCTTCTTCTGGGAACTGCAGTTACTTCTCCTCAAAAATCACCACAAAAATGCTACAAGATTGCCTGCATTTATCTGCTTGGAGAAGATTATTTGCAACCATTTTCCACCTCTCTGTAGAAAACTTAATGTCCACAAAGTCTATGGAAAGTGGGAGGGGAGGAATAAAATTCCTGCGGGAAATCTGGACGGCTGTGATACAGCTCCTGTCGGTTTTTCTAGCTTCTTACAGACCATCATACTGCACTGCCTCTGATACTCAAATTAAACATAACACCATTCACGTAACTAGCAACAGCATAAATGGTTGCCCATTGCCTGCTACAGGGAAAGCTTTCACCAGCACAAATGAGATGTCCTTCCATTAGATAAATGGAAGTTTAGGTGGAAGGGACCTACTCTACTATAGAGAAGGTCCCTTCCACCTAAACTTCAAAAGCCATCTGCGTAATTGAATGGAATGCACTGTATCACATTCACTTTGGACTTGACTGTCAGTTGCTGGAAGAGAAACAAAACATATGTGCTATTGTCACTGAATTTAGGCCAAAGGTTGAGGTAAAAACAGAAAGATAAAAGAGAATGAAAGTAAGACAGACGGAAGAAAATGGACAGAGTAGAAAAACAGGATTGCAGAGAGACCTGTGTGTGCAAAGCCAGAAGAAGGAATATAGGGTCAAATTATAGCTCACAGATATTCTTAGAAGAGAAAATTCCTCAGAATTCCTTACTGTCATAGTAAAAGTTATCTGCAGATTAATTTGCTTTGTGTTTTGTGGCTGGTCACAAGGACGTGGGCTTCACTTATAGGTGTGACTGTGCAGACACAAACATCTATAAGACACTTTCTCTTGAACACTAATACAATTTCAGCTTCCTAATGATGGGCTGTCTATCATCTGACCCAGAGATAGAGGTGCAGACAGAGCCAGAAAGTAGAAAGAGAAAGATGGGCAAGTCAGTGAACAGACAGATGTTTAGAAAGATGGTAATGGGAGCTGAAAGGTGTGGTGCAGAATGAAGAGGACAGAGAGGAGAAAACCGGTAGTTATTGAAAAAAAAAGCTCGCTCTGTTTGATTGTCTGTGCATTCATCACTCACAATCAATTCAAAGGCTCATTTTGTGTTGTGTCTCCTCATCTCCAGATAGCGTTTTCATATCCATAAATTCCTGGGACCCTGAGGAATGCTCAAGATCTTCTGCTGTCTACTTCCACAGTCATATGGGAAGCATCAGCACCAGCACTTGACCCCAAGGGGCCCAGCAGTACTAAAATGATCATTTATTTGGTCACTGTCTATCTTGCCTTTCCATCAAAAATGGTGCTCAAGATGGCTGACAATAACAAACCATAAGCTAAAAACAAAATCCTAACAAAACAAAAACATATATTAAAAACACAATGAGAAAAGACACCACCCAAATAGATGGACCTCTTTTAACAACCAGTTTACATGTCAGAGGCCCATCAGAATAAAAACATATTTGCCTACTGGCAGAAGAACAAAAGATGAGAAGCTAACTTAATATCTCTCAGCAAGCCATTCTAGAACCAGTGGGAGCAGCTACTGAGATGGCCCTTTCTTGTGTCCCTACCAACTATGTATTTGAGTATAAGTCTCTTCAACATGATTTGTGCCTTAAAGCTAAGCATATTGTTGTTCTATTATATATCCTTCCTACATGAAAAAATGGATTCCCTTGGAAAAACATTCTCACAAATGTGAGGAACTCATGACAAGCAACTGCAATATTTAATGTCAGGAGCTTTGCCAAATGCATATTTTAATTGCATCTTGATCTGCATCCATTGAGTGACTAAATACATGTCTAACTTTCATAAAGACCTAACAGGAAGTCAACTTAGAATTGAAGACTACATTGCTTTTTAATATTTCTTCTATCACAATAAAATATGAAATGATGCAAGTGGGGCACAATAAAAGCAAGGATTCTATTTTTAATGAAAATCAGGACATCTGAGATCGTAGAGTCTTTGAAGATTACTTGCTCCTTAAAAATAATCATGCTACTATCGGGTTTTTATGTTTGATTTGGTTTTTTGCAAGGTCAGTTTTCTGTAATGAATGGCCAAGCAGCATTTCCTAGTAAAGAGAGAAAGAAAGTATATCTGATTTGACATATGGAAGTATTTTAAACTGGTCTCATGACCAGGGGATATTAAATTACTCTTGCTTCTTTTTAAACTTTATATTTAGAAAGGATTTTAAAATTTGGACCCCATGCCCCTTACTGTCTACTTCCAAAGCCTTTTCACACAATCTGATCCCCATTTTCACACATTAAAAAAACAACAACAACCCAAGTCCTTTCTTACCATGTCATAACCACACAATGTACCTTCTGCAGCTGGCATAAATTTGGTTTCACATTTTCTGCCCACTCGATGACACCACAATGCTTTACAAATATCCTGATATGGGTGAGGGGGAGGCAACAAAGTGAGGTACAGAATTAGAATGATTTGTTTCAAAATGTACCCATCATTATGACTAAAAATAGTTAAAAGGAAAAAATAATAATTACATAAGCAGAAGCTATAAAAAATTCTGATAAAAGTACTTTTCACATCACAAAACAAGAAAGAACAGTACTGAAAACCATTTGGTCTGCTGAAAATTAGTAATACTGATGCTAATACTAATGCTATAATGTCAAGTTGATTCCAACTTATGGCTACCCTCCCAGGATTTTCTAGGTATAAAGCACCTTTAAATAGCATTTTGGCCACTTTCACAGAGGAAGTCATAATACTTCAAGCTATGATTAGGTGGACTGGGCATTTTGTAGATCACTCATTCATAGGATCACCATAAGTTGGTGGTGACTTGAGAGCATATAGCAACAACAATGATTAGGTGATTGGGAATTCCCTTTATATATCTATATCTATTTTATATCTATATTGGCCGAGGCAAAGAGGAAGTCCCAAAACCAGCAAAATCAGGGAGCTGGACCAGGGGACAGATTGTATTTGTCTTCAGAGTGGAAGGGATTGTCACTCTCGAATTGGCCTTCTCAGCCACACTAGATGCTCTTCCAAGACCTCTATTCAGAGTATGTTGCCATAGTCTCTTGTGACTTAAGGATGCCTACACTATCTATATCTATATCAAAGTGTTCCTCTTTGTCTTGCTTTTATAAAAAGAAATATTTCATGGTGATACAAGAAAATCTTCCCACAGGAGGTGAAAAATTTCTATAACTAATATCACACAAAACATCTTAGACCAGTATGAAAGCCACAGAATTAGAGAACTGCATTTGACTAGAACAGGGGATAAGTATGCAAACCCCAAGCTGTTTTTGTGTCCTCTTACTGCCCCCCCCGTCCTTTCTTTTTCTGATGAAGTAAGGTGAAGTGCCACTCCCGGAACACTTTCCTCCATCATTTCGTCCCAGGGACTTCCCTCCATCGTTGGCAGCAAAACAAACCTTAAAAAAAACCCAGACATGGGCTTACTAGTGTTTTTGGTATTTGACAAGGTATGTCCATTCTCCAGAAAATGCTGGAAAAATGTCCTTGTAACTCTCAAAGTTGCTCTAGTCGCACCGTGGGCTAGACTGTTGGACTTCAACAAAGAGACCTGGTTTCAAATCTCAGCTGAGCCATGACTTTTTTTTTGTTCCCCTCAGATGAGTCAGTGCTAAAATTCAGTAGTATAATGCAACTAGAATAGGTCCATTGAATCAGTGGGGACTTGGTGAATTGACACCTATGCAACTTCCATTTATTCAATGGACCTTTTCCAGCTGTAGCTTACTACTGAATGTTGGCCATATTCTTTTAGCCTAACCTCCCTTTCCAAAGTTGCTTTGAGGAGAAGATTGGCATGGTTTACAGTGTCCTGAGCTGCCTGCATGGTGAGTAGGATGAAAAATAGGCTTCTTACCTTTTTGAAGTCCATCATGCACAGCTTGGCTTTCTCTCCAAACTGCCATTTACACTGAGTGGCTGCATCATACAACTCTCCTGGAAGCTTCTCTGGATACTTGTACTCATGCACAGGTTTAGGCTGATCAGCAAGACACAAGGATTGAGCAGAGCTACAAGAGATCCCAAAAAAGGTACTTTTGGAGATACCAAATGGAAATTTATATCAAATGAAATTCAATACAAATCCAGTTTGCTATAGCTAATCAGCTCTGAAATGTTGTGGTTTTAGGTCACAAATCTTTCTCCTATAGGTCTTCCTGCATATGGCTTCCAGCAATAGAAATTTCTCATAGCCATGTACAGTAAATGAGCGTCTGACTTGCAAATTACAGTATATCTGTGTTTACCTCTAGATGACCAATCACAAAACAAAGAAAGCTTATTTACAAGCTATAGTGCTAGAACAGATAGATGTCTTTTACTATTGAAGGGAGCTCTGCTTAATATGAGCCAGCATGAGTCAAATATCTTATCTGGCTTAGTCCTAGGTTTCCCTCTGCCATTAGACCTGGTTATCATTCTTATGTTCTTCTCATAGGCAGGGGGTTGGGGACTGTATGGCTGTGGAGCCAGAGGTTGGGAGTTCAATTCCCCCACTGTGCTTCCCTGACAGGAGCTAGAGCTGAATATCCAGAGGGTCCCTTCCAGCACTGCAGTATCAAGTACTCATAATGCTGGGCTAGTCTCATCCAGCAGCATTCTTTGTGTGTTCCCAACAGTTACAAAAAGTGCCAGCTGATTTTTGCGGGAAGTGAGAAAACTCTTGCTCCAGATATCTTTGGTGGTTAGCACCTTCACCCAATTCCTGAATGCAAAAGAAGCAACTGCTGCTGTTTTCTCATACCCCTGCTTAAGCAAAGATGATCAAGTGCAGGCCACTGTTCACAACTTACTGGGGAGGATAGTTGGTCCTAAGGCCATTAACTCATCATAAAAAAGAAAGTGCGTCCTGCTCTGGTCCTTTTTCTGTTTTATGTACATGTAGTCTTGTTACATCATGAGGTGAATGATAGAGGAAGAATTTATGCATTCTTTATATAAATTGGAGTTTCGAGTTTCCTGGACTTAGCAAAAGAAACCCATCTGTTAACATTTCCTAACTTTGTGCTCTCCAGATGTGTTTGTTTATAACTCCCATGATGCCCAGCCACAATGAGTAATATTCCATGGCATGATGGGGGTTGCATAGCTATATATCTGGACAGTATCAGGTAGAGGTAAGGTATCCTAGAGTGATCGCTAATTTAGACCTACTGGTAATAAATTAATACAGCGGTTGCAAAGTCACGTATATAGCCACAGGCCACTACCAGCCAACTGGAAATATCCTTGTCCTCATATTAATCCCAGCTGTCTGGAGAACACACCGGGTCTTCCCAAGCTCATAAACAGTTACATCCTACTGAAATTAGCAAGTTTGGCATTGTTTTATTTGATAGAGCCTTATCATGTTACTGGCTGAGAATGTGCAGAGGGCTAAACTGGACCCAGCACAACATTGAAGAACAACTTTTAAATTCTGGCACTGGCTAATATTTCTTGGCTTTCCACCTGGATTAAATAATTCCTGTAATTCACCTGAAATCTAGATGTCTTCAATTTCATGCTGCTGAAAAACAAGATTGACACATCCTGTGGATGTCAAGACACATGAGTCGCTATGTCTAATATTAACTCATTCTTCTAAAATAAGGACCATCAAGCAACAGGCATCATGAAACAGACTGAGACCTTTTCTTATTAATATAGGAAGTGACAGAACAACATGATCAGTATTCTTAGGGTAGCCAAAATAAATTTAGCACAGCTCAGCCAGCTACAGGATTCTCTGTGAATCTACGTAACATCCACAACTCATCAGTCTTTCAAATGACAGAAAAACAAGTCAGCTCAAAACACCACAGAGCTGCCTACACAGCAAGCTCTCTGCTTGTATGTGTGTTGTTTTCGGACACCTGACCACATCTCACTTAACACGTGCTTGAAACTCTCTTTCAGCAATTGCCAATGCAGAGTGATGGTAAGGGTGCCAGACCAGCAGTGGCGAAACCCAAGTTCAAACCTCCACAATTATGAAGTTCATCCAGTGATGTGGGATTATCACTGTCTCTCGAACCTAACCTAAATTTAAGGGATTTTGTGAATAAATATATCTATATCATACAGAGGAACTTACATGGATATAAAAAGCCCCTCACTTCAAAAGTTTGCTGTCAGTGTGTTAAGAGTGATGAAGGGAAGTGCAGATAGTGCTCATCCTCACACCCACAAATTCAACATATTTCTTGAATTCATCAACAAAATATCTGATTAAGACTTAGCTATATGTGCTTTCCACTCAAATGAGTGAACATGCATTGCCTGTCAACAGCCATTTCGACACATTTTGTATGGTGTGAATATATACAAATGTCTGTGTGAACAAATGGGGCTTTGCTACAAAATATACATGCAACAAGCACCTACAGCCAAAAAAAATAGAACAAAACAAAATAAAAATAAAAACCACAAGCTCTCTGGCTGACACAATTGTGCGACACATGTAAATTTAATAACTGCATGTCATCAAGTCAATTCTGACTTATGGTGACTCTTTTCTAGGTTTTCCAGATAGAGAATACTCAGAAGTGGTTTACCATTCCTCGTTTTAGGGGCATCCTGCGAGTGTGCAGCTTGCCCAAGGCTGCATAAGCTGGCTTTTCTGGAATGCCCAGTGGAGAATTAAAATCCCAACCTCTGGCTCTGAGCCAGTTATGTAATTCACTGAGCATCCATCCAGATCACTTTACATTTCACATTTACACTTATGCTGCAAGTGCACACTTATGATATCTTAGATCAGTGTTTCCCCAGCTGGTAGAGAAGGCTTCTGAGATTCACAGTCCAAGAACATCTGGTTACCCAAGGTTGGGAGCCACTACCTTAGATATATAACTCACATCACACTACTATAAATCTTTAATCTGCTACACAGTATATTACCCTTACATTTGATTGCCTATGACATTTATTCCTAACAGGATCCCTCAACATCACAAAGGGAGCAATGGCTAAGTCCTCTTCCTCATAACTCTGCAAGTGACCTGCTCTAAAGAGGGAATTATCCCAGAGCCATCAGAAGACTCAGTGTGATTGGCTGGCATGATACCACCTCTAGGGTTTGAAGTGCATAGGCAAGATAACTTTTGAGTGGATGCACAAAGAAGGGATCATGAACTGATACAAATAAAGTCAAGAAAAAATTGAAAGCCACAGAAATAGATATGGTCCCCAAGGTGTTTTGGTCTCTTTAGTGAGAGGCAATTAATGTTTCTTGAATAAACCAGTATCAAATCCCCATCAATACTGCATTTCCCTGAAACACCTTGAATGGCTCCCTTGCTTCCCATGTAAGAATCTTGAAAGAAACAAATATCAAGAAACAGAAATGTTCTCTTATTTTATTGTCTGTTCCATAAGAGGCAGTGGCACTGCTGCTGAGACTGTGGCCCATTTGCCAGTCTTGGGTCCTAGCAAACGCCCAGTCTCTCCATCTTCTAGAGCAGGGTAGATGATCTCAGTGGGCTTGGAGGCCCAAATTCTTTCCCACAGATGAACCACAGGCCACATTGGAAACGCCTGAAAACAGCAACTGAAACAAACGACAGGCATTCCCCATTTCTATTTCAGGAAGGGAACAAAGTCAGACTTTTCAGTGACCAAGCCCTAGTGGGGTTTCAATGACTTGTTCAAGCATAAATACCTTAAAAATTTGTAGAGATACTGACGACTGCAGGTTGACCAGGAGAAAATCCCATTGTGTCCGGCCAGTGTGGGTGACATGATGTTACCTTCGGACTTCTTGCAAATGTTTCCTTCTCCATCATGGACCATGCCAAAGCTGTGAGAGAAAAACAATGAATCTGTATTCTAAGTTTATAATCGCCTGGTAATGCCAGTGCTCCAAATGGCAAAGAAATGAGAGAAATGTAAACTACACTATGTCCTGTTGCACGAAACTTTTAATCTTGATGTGTGTGTGGTTTTTTTTTTGAAACACTGTCGATTTTTCAGAAAATGAAGCCATGACCTTGCAAGTCCTGAGCAGAGCTGTTAATGACAAGACATTTTGGACATTACTAATTCATAAGATTGCTTTAAGTTGAAAGTGGGTTCATGGCACATAACAGCAACGTAGAGTTTTTATTCCCCCCCCCCCAGGGTCCTTTGAAAATCCCTCTAAATATTTTACCCAAGAGTATTATTCTTGTTTGGTGGTCAAGGTTAGAGTAAGAAAGTAGGCATTTAGCTCATTTTAGAAATACAAGAGCTTTGGAAGAAGCATAACTGAACAAAACAAGAATTGTTTTTTTTTCCTTATCTCCACACAAGCAGTTTCAGTACAACAGCTCAAAGACAGAAAAAGTTTGTTTTGGACTATAGTTCCCAGAATATCCCAACTAGTTGGGGGATTCTTGGCACTGTAGTTGACAAAATTTGTTTTCCCAATTTCTGCAACACCCCATTGTTTATATACAGATTTGGGATAAAATATGTTAACAATCTGTCTAGCACGGAAGCCACAACACAATGAGAATCATAGCCTGACACACTCAAGCACTGGTGAGGCGGGCTGCAATCCATGAATACTCATGCCAAATAAAACTTGTTAGCCTTTAAAGTGTCACAAGACATTTTGTTGTTTTTATGGCAGTCGACTAACCCCTAGATATTTTTACAACACAGGAAAAATTCATGTAATACAGTATATATCTGATACAATGTACTGCAACTTTCTTCCTGCCTTTTCAGTAAAGAAATATTGATCAATTCTCTTTCTCATATACCACTACAACCAGTCAATTCAGGCACTTCATGTTATATATTTATTTAATAGATTTTTTTAAAAAAAAAATCACTTTCAGGTTAGCATCTCTCCCAAGTTGATTTACAACAGACTATTGAAAAACCGTGGTCTGTTGTAAACGGAAATCACAGTTTGAGGTAACTTTGCAAACCACTGTTTGTGATATCTCTGATTTGCAAGGACCAAAGTTGTATTGTGGAGTTACACCAGCAGAAGGGCAATGGTGTAACTCTCAGTAGAAAACTGCTGCTAATTAATGAGTCACCACTTAACATTCCTTACTACATGTCAGCCAGGTGCCTTAGTGCATGGCCAGAAATCTAACTGATGACCTATTAATTAACAGCAGTTTGCTGCTGCACATTACACCACTGCAAATGCATCAGCACAACTCCACAATAGGATTACAGCCTATGCTTCTGAACCAACAGACCATAGTTATGGCCACTGTTTTTGCTTCAAAGATCATAGCCCAAGAAAATTGGATCACTTAGCAAATGCAGAAGGAACTATTTGGAAGCTTGAACTATTGCTTAGACCAGCCATTCTCAACAGTGGCCATATGGCTTCCTGGGGGCCCCTGGCACATTTGAAGGGGACCACAGACTAAAGTAATTCTTCACACACCACCTTATAAGGTTTGCTATGTGACTTTTACAATCCTGATTTGGTCCGTCTTTCATATTGTGTTTATGGCTGTGGCCAAAAAAAGGTTGAGAAAATAGCTGGCATAGACACTAAGTGCAGTTTCTCCAGCCTATGGTTTGACTTGCTAGATGAGATCTAAGGGCTGAATTTTAGTAGGAAGTCACATCTAGAATACATATTGACTCACTAAATCAGTGTGAATTTAGTGAGTCAACATCTATGTAGGTTTCACTGATTCAATGGGCCTACTCTAGTGGTTATCTGAAATTCTCTTGTCCTGAAGCTTTCTCAAATTCAGACAAAATGAAACTTTTCTTCTGTAAAATGTGCATAAACTTACTTATGTCCAGACTCATGAGCAATGGTGAAAGCTAGCCCAAGCCCAGTATCTTCATTAACTGTGCAGCTGCGGTATTTGCTGCACATTCCACTTATTGGAGCAAACCCTGGAGAATTAAACAAAAAAGGTGGGGGAAAAGCATTCTTTGGCAGGGGAAAATGACTTGAAATTGGTATTTTTGAATCAAACAAAAACAAAATATCCAGAAGAGCTTAAGTGGCTGGCTTTGATAGGCAGCTATAATGTATGTTGCTTCTGTAAAGGGTTCTGTTACTGCTGGTATAATATGACCAAGGCACAATTAAGTTCATCTGCATAATGATGCAATGAATAGATCCTTGCTCCCTGCTCCCCTTCTTAAATAGAGCTCTCCTTCCTAACTGGAACAATTGAATTCAGTTTTTATATCAAACAATAGAATAGAAATGTCTCCTACAGCACAAAGAGCTATTGTGTTATTTAGTGACAACCCGGTTTGTTATTACTTTCTGAACATCAGAAATGAGTTGTGCTGTTACTAATTAGTAACATGTTAACAATATGTCACTTCTAAATTACAAATGCTAAAAAACAAACAAACAAAAAACAAAAGTCTGCCCAAAGGAATGTATTAAAGGAATGAGAAACATTATTCAAAACATTATCCTATTATTGTTATTAGAATGCTAAAAGGAGCCTTTTTTTGACATCTGTAGAATAAAACAGAACTATAAAAAGTTACTTCCATGTCCTATTCCTGATGACATCTGATGACATACAGCTGCAGTGTTCTTTTCTGATATTTGTCATAGTTGCTTGCTCCTGCCTTGGAAAGCTCAAATTGGCATAAAGTGGGAGCCTGTTAGAATTTCATCAGGAAAGATCTGAGTTCTAATATTGCTGCTGGGCCCACAAAATGGCTTTGGGCAAGTCCTTGCCTCAAAAATACTGCCTACTACAAGGGGTGCTATAAAGATAAAAAATGGGAGACATTCTTATGTATTTCATGTATTTATTTACAAATATAATCTGCAACAAAACACTGTTTTGTAGAGAGATTTCCTGTTAAAAGTGCTAGCCAGCCTATTCCATCCTCCTTCCTTGAACAGTAAGTCAGATTTGTGTGGCCACTGACCATGCCCACAGGATTGTTCTGGAACATTTCCCCACTTGCTCCCTACTCCCATGCTTTGTACATTCACAAATCCTGGCATCTTCTAAAACTGCTGAGCCTTTCTTTTGGTCATGGGTAACACTTTTGCTACATAAACAATGATACCCACAGCTAGAACTTGACAAATATAGTGTGCTTCCATTATTCCACCTTCCCCAAAGAACCCAAGGTTATGTATATGCGAACAAAGGAAAATAAGAAGAGCCCTAATTCACTTTTCTTTTCCATCTTGTAATCTGCCAGCATATTTTGTTAGTACAGATGACCCTTCCTTCACACCTCTTTTCCCTGCTGTGTGAAGCTGGGGCAATAATTTGTGTTCATGGAAAGAGAGACAGATTCCATCTAAAGCCCTCCAGTTGCTGAAATGCAAGCATGACACAGAACTCTGAAAACATTTTGAACAATTGGACAAGCCAGCCCCTGGACAGGAGCTGCTGAACACTCATGGCATCAAAAACACGTTCTGCATTAGAGTTTTGGGTGCAGGGAGTGCCATCAATTAATTAGAGACGATTGTGGGAGGCTGCCAGCTGAGAACTCACCTAATGTGTCACATGGCTCATTTTTCCAGGAACAGATATCGAGGCCCGTCAATAAAATGGCATGGTCATGGCGGCTGCCATCTTTCCCCACCAGCCCAGACTGCCACTGACAAAAACTGCTCAGGGTATGGTCAGCGTGATGATTAATCATAAGCCCTGGCTGCAGGCAACAATCAAAGATAAGAAACCGCCCCCGTGAAACACACCATTAAACAGGAACAATACAGAGATTTACTTTTGCCTCCCCCAAACCAAACATGCACACACACACATATCAACCCCCCCACACAACTGCCCCACATTCTCATCTAGATATAAGACAATGAGAAAGATGGCAACCAACACCCTTCTTTGAAACCATAGATTTAGGTAAAACAACTTGATATTCTGTATCAGATATTTAGCTTTTTGTTTACTGTGCAGAACAACAGAGCAGATATTTTCAAAAACAAACAAACAAAAAACTTCAAAGGACCACCACAGAGTCAGAGTCATTTTTATGTGTGCTATTAAGAAAGGCCTCTCTTGTTGAACGCAAACTATCAACTACGCTTGGCAAAACAGGAGGAGCTTGAAACAGATCTGGCTTTTTGCTACCTACCAGAAATGACAAAAACTGGAAGGCTGCCACATTCTATCAGGCCACCGTACCTAGCTGGTGGGCCGTGCTTGGTTTATTTGGATACAAGTTTGACTCATGTCCTACTACATATTCAGCAAGTAATAAATGGTGATGATGACTGCACAAATCAGGGCAGGGAAAGAGTGGCCCTTCTAATCAGCCCTCACTTTAACCTCCAAATAAAGATGATGTTCCAAATACATCTGGAGAGCCACCTGCAGATCCACCATTAGAATGAATCTTATTTAGTTTGTCCTTTTGCTCTCTCTCTCTCTCTGGCTGCATTTAGGTAGTATCATGTTTTATTGTAATTTTACCTAAATCTCTGGTTTCGCCCTATTTGTGTCAAAGAAAAACTGTATCTTGCTTAATCTTTTCCCTGAAAACAACGATAAAATAACATCTGACAGAAACATGGTTGATGAGTTTTGGAATTGTGGACGGCAATAGATTTCAATGTGAGCTGCCATATTTCTGTAGTCCAAATGAAGATAATGAGAACATAAGAGGAGCAGTGGTGTCTGAAACAAAACTGTTTATTGGACAATAAAAATAGAAAGCTAAAGGGGTTATAGTTACATGGAATAAACAGAAATAATGTAGATTTAAATAGAATCTTTGACTTTGTATTCACGAAGGCTTTCACAGCTGGGATCTAATGGTTGTGTGCTCACCAGAGCACAGAGTGCTGTCCTCTGAAGATGCCGGCCACAGACTGGCGAAATGTTAGGAAGAACAACCTTCAGAACACGGCCAAGAGCCCGAAAAACCCACAACAATCAATCTTTGACTTGCTTGGGGGTGACAATACAGGTTGGCAAAATTTCCTAGTATTCTGAAAAAGGTTTACTTTCAGATTTCCCCATCAAGGCCCCACCACAGTGGTAGTAAATGGCATCCCATGAACACATGCAGGCACATCTGCCTCTGGTGCAACTCATTTACAGATGCTGCCCACAGACAGAGCTGGACAGAGACAACAGAATTTCTAGAGTGTAAAATATTTTTTTAATACTTGATATATGACCAACAGAACTGTCAAACACTGTATAGAATAAATTCAGAGATTCTGTTACGCAGCTCTGTGCGCACAATGGTGATCATGTCATTGTTGAGATTTTGATCTCAAAATGTATTAAATATATATCTTGTGTAGTTGAAAGTAAAATGGCTGATTTTACCTGAGTCATGTACTGAGAGTATTCAGGTGTGGGTACCGAGGTGATGTTGTACAGCTGTTGTACATGATGTAACTTTATGTACTGTATGTAGAAAATGAAGTAATATATTTTCTGATTGATCCCAAGAATGTATATAAATCATGTGTAAAGAGGACATTTTATCTGCTGTAAGTCAGATCATTTTTTTCTATGCTATGCATTGTACCGTCTCATGTTATGCTGCCAGATGAATGTCTATTCTCTCTGTATATATGTTAATAGACCAAGTTGGATTTTACTCTCTCAGTGTTATAGTGTCTTTGCAACCTGATATCTCCTAACTCTGCTTATGTTCTGAGAATACACATTTACCCAAAATTCTCAACAGTCATGTCATCATCAATCGTAAAACATAGATGACTAAAGACTTAATGTGTACTCCAAAATAACCTTCTACTACAAGCAATTTGCCACGGATGATTAATTGACTGCTATTGTGCATGCAGAGCTGTGCAACTGGATTTCAGCCATTATTTTTCATCATTAAATGTAAGCCAAGCCAAGAATAGCATTAATTCAGACTCAGAACTCCTCCTTATGGAACAAAGAAGGTGTTAAATCTTAAACATTATTAGCAGATCAACAACATATCCAAAATAAAGAACAGCAGCATCAGATGGAATTATTACATTATGCCTGTCCAACATTCTATCCTCCCATTACATAAATCATACTTTAAAACAGAACAGCAAAATGATTACAGTAAGAAAAAAATAATAATTGAAAGGGGTTCTTAATCAAGCTTGCTTGGTCTCAACAGAGCTTAATTGTGCCCAATAAAATTATAAGGACTACCACTCAAAGACATCTTCTCAACTAATAACACATAAAATTTATAGTTAATTTATTCCTTTAGCAGTTAGCATTGTGCCTTTTGCTGTATGTGAATGATTCTGGAAGGACACAAAACAAAACAACAGTGAGCAACAGATTTACAAGAGCAGCAATTCTCTGAGCTGGAGAAGTAAAGGAAAATTATATCACAGGTGTAAGATCAAAAGATTACTCTTCTTACTCTTTTCAGGTTGGACATGGTCCAAGCACGAAAAGCTAAACATTCAATGTAATTAACCTGTCATTTAAGGAGCTCTGATCGCTCAGCACATAAAATGAAGCATTACATTGCTAGTAGAGTTTTCCAGTATACAGCAGCTTGGAGTCAACTTTTTTAAAAACACAAAGAAATGAAATAAATAAAAGGAGAATAGACTTTAACGTATCAATCAACACAGTTCTAACAGCTGGAGCAGTGATAATCTTGGCCATTCCTTCATGGTTTTACAGGGGAACTGTGATATGCCGTTACACCTTAAGGCACCAAGTATTAAGTGACTCTATGTAACTTGATGGGTGCACACAGAGAAGTGTGCTCTGAATAAAATTATGCCCATTAGCACCTTCTGCAGTGAAGGAGATTGAGAACTGCAGCTTTTCTATCTCTCATGAAAGCACGATCTTAGTAAATCTGTGCACATGTAAGACGCCAAGCCTCTTTAACAGGGGCGGAAGAGCAGCAGCGGGCTTCAGACTATATATTGCCTTTGCTTTCACAGGGGAATTCCTCCCTTGATTATGTCAGTACCATGGTAAACCCATGGGTGTTTTTCATGGGGCTAGGTAACAGTTACGGCTGCATCTCCCTTGGAAAGGCTAACTACAGAGTTGACACAATCTTCAAGCCTTGTTATGAATGACAAGGAAGGAATGTGTTTGAAATGGCTGGAATGAATGTGTGAAGAATTAGCCTAGGGGTTTTGAACCAGAACTCCCAGAAGCCAGGCTCCAGTGGCTTAACTCTTCCATCACCAGGCCAGCATTTCTCCTGAACCAAAAAGACTGACTTCCAATTTGTTTCAGAGCTCCATTTAGGTTTTGATCTAATAGCCTTCCCCTGACATATAAATCTGAGGTCCTCATTAAAGAGTTATTATGTGTATTTCCTATCCGGATATGCTAGGCTGGAGTACACAAGAGATAGTGTTTTCTCTATAGCAGAGTCTCAGTTGCAGAATCTCCTCTCAAGGGATGTCAACTCTTATTCCATTATGTTTGGCTTTTGGGTGACCAAAACTGGATCACACCATTTATACAAATATATAGATACCTCCTTCATGGATTGCTGCCTTGTCGTGGCGAAGGGGCTTGAGTAATTCAGAGAAGCTATGGGCTATGCTGTGCAGGGACACCCAAGATGGACAGGTCATAGTGGAGAGTTCTGTCTAAACACAATCCACCTGGAGCAGGAACGGCAAGCCATTCCAGTCTCTTTGCCAAGAAAATCCCATGAACAGAAACAAAAGTCTAAAAGATATTACGCTGGAAGATGAGCCCCTCAGGTCAGAAGGTGTCCACCATGCTACTGAGGAAGAGTGGAGGACAAGTACAAGTAGCTCCAGAGCTAATGAAGTGTTTGGGCCAAAGACGATGGGACACTCAGCTGCGGATGTGCCTGGAAGTGAAAGGAAAGTCCAATGCTGCAAAGAAAAACACTGCATAGGAACCTGGAATGTAAGATCTATGAACCTTGGTGAGCTGGATGTGGTCAAACAGGAGATGGCAAGAATCAACATTGACATCCTGGATGTCAGTGAACTAAAATGGACGGGAATGGGCAAATTCAATTCAGACGATTATCATATCTACTATTGTGGACAAGAATCCCATAGAAGAGTTAACATAGTCAACAAAACAGTGGGAAAAGCTGTACTGGGATACAATCTCAAAAATGACAGAATGATTTCAATATGAATCCAAGGCAGACCTTTCAACATCACAGTAATCCAAGTTTATGCACCAACCACCAATGCTGAAGAGGCATAACAACACCTTCTAGAACTGACACCAAAGAAAGATGTTCTTCTCATTATAGGGGACTAGAATGCTAAAGTAGGGTCAAGAGATAAAAGGAACAACAGGTAAGTTTGACCTTGGAGTTCAAAATGAAACAGGGCAAAGGCTAATGGAGTTTTGTCAAGAGAACAAGCTGGTCATCACACTCCTTTCCAACAACACAAGAGGTAACTCTACACATGGACATCACCAGATGGGCAATACCGAAATCAGATTTATTATATTCTCTGCAGCCAAAGATGGAGAAGCTCTAAACAGTCAGCAAAAACAAGACCTGGAGCTGATTGTGGCTCTGATCATCAGCTTCCTATAGCAAAATTCAAGCGTAAACTGAAGAAAGTAGGAAAAACCACTGGGCTAGTCAGGTATAATCTAAACCAAATCCCTTATGAATACACAGTGGAA